AATGACCAATTCTGAAAATAATAGAGTGTCTGTAAACCTGAGTTTGGCATCAAAGTTGTCACAGAAAGTTATAACAATTTTCAGAATCTTTCCCCAGCAGAGGCAGATTTAATCTTTCAGTCAGAGTGTGGCTGGGAATGAATGCACCTTGCTGGGAAAGGTTTATAATAAATGCAACCAACCCCCTTGTATAAAATAGTTATACTTTTGTTGAAGCCCAAAGGAAACTGGATTAACAAATCCCATCTTTTAAATATCAGTGTATTAAGAAATTAGTTTGTATGTAGAATGTTTCTTTCTTTCTTTGCAAAGCAGTTACAGGAAAGTGCCAACGTGTCTCACAGCCCGTGTTTGGATCCTTGGGAGAGAGAGAGAGAGAGAGAGAGAGAGAGAGAGAGAGAGAGAGAGAGAGAGAGAGAGAGATTGATTGTGGAAATCCTTTTGGTATTGCTTTCAAAATACACCTGGAATTTGATTGCTTTTTACCACCTCTTCTGCTGCAATTATGGTCCAAGACACCGTTATTTTTTACCTGGATTATTGCAGTGGCTTCTACCAGGTCTCCTTGCTTCTCCTTTGCATTCCTGTAGCTTATTCACAACACAGAAGCCAGGTGATCATTTTAAAACCTAACCAGATAGGTTACTCCTGCATTCAAAACCCTTCTTTGGTTCCCAGTTTCACTCAGAATGAAAGGTAAAGTCCTAATAGTGACCCTCAGTCCCCTACCTATTCTGCCTTTCCATTATAATTTCTATCTCCTTACCTACTACTGTATGCTCCTCTTTGTTTTCTCTTTTCTGGCCACCCTGACTTAGGGTGCTCCCTGGAACACAGAGAACACACTTCCACCTTATGCCCCCACAATTTACTTTTCCTAGCTACTCCCATTGCCTGGAATATTCTTCCCTTAAACATCTATCTGGCTAACTCCCTCACCTCCTTTAAGCTTTTGCTCATATCTCAGTGCCTCAATAAAGTTGACCCTACATTTCCTACTTGGTATTTTAGTTTTTCCCCTCTTCTCATCAATTATCAATAGTAACTAATAGAATATAAGAGAGGAAAGCAATTAGGTGATACTCATATGATTGTTTGGTGATGATATTATCACACATTGTATAGGAATCTTAGTAGAATATTGTTTTGGGGTAGATGATAGATCCTACTAAAGTGCCTGTTGGACATTTGGTTAAATGGCACAAAAGGTAGAGGCTTACATGGGGTTAAATGAAGCTATAGGGCATTTATTTGAAATAATAAAATAAAGATGGTAATTTAAATCACAAAATTATTAGCATGTATAGGAAGAATAGAAGAAGGCTTTCTACACTCATTAAGAAAATATTATTTAATGTTTGTGCAAATAAATTTGGACCAAAAAAGATTAACAAGTTTCCAGAAAGTGAGAAGAAAAATGTGTGTATATGGGAAAGAAATACAAATTTTTAAGTGATGATGGAAGCAAAAAACAAACAAAAAACAAACAACAACAACAACAAAAACAGGGAAAGGTGTCAAAACTAAAGAAAAGAGAGAGAAGACAAAATTGATGACATGAAGAGGAGGCCAAAGAGGATGGCATTTCTAGAAGACAGTAAAAGGGATGTTAAGTATTTCAGGAATTAGTTAAGTGTATGCATAATTTAATTCAAACCGTAAAAAGATTGTGTAATGTCTATGTAAGAATATAATAGATAGAATGGATTCCCATTGTCCAGAGTACATTTGTGTGGAGGGGAAAGAGGAGCAAATGATGCTTTGATAACACAAGCCTCATCCAAACCAAAGCTATACAGCCTCCATGAAATGTTCCATGGTGGTGTAATTTACCATAGACTTCTTAAATACACATACACACACACACAAAATCATATCAAAGCTTGGCATAACCTATTCAGTACTCCTAAGCTCAATTTTCTATTAAAATTTGAACCAGGGGAATGACTGGTTTTCTGTCCAAACTAAGCTGGAGAGAGGTTTCCATGAAAGGGTAGGTAAAAGAGCTGTATTGTTCATCTATAGTCTTCAATTGTTTCAAAGATATTTTGATCTCAGTTCCTTGTTACCTCCCATATTCATTGTGATACCAAGAAAATTTTCAAACCTAAACATTGAATCCCAGACGTTCTCTATGCCTTGAGGTACCACATGAAGTTGACTCAGTACATGCTCCTTGCTTGCTTATAATTTGAGGTGCAATTTTATTATGTGAGTAGACTAATATTGAATACATGTCAAGTAAAATGAGGACTAAGAATTGATTACTTTGGTAAAAAAGTGAGTTTTCCACCAAGAGAAATTATTTACCTCAAAGTAAATTTTCTTCGTTTTTCTTGAACTGTTAATACAAAATATATTAGAAGAGTCACATTTTCCTTGAATGCAATCTTTGAATAGCTGTAGAGCCTGGGCTGATTTTAAAAAATATGAACTCAGTTGTCTCACCTACACATGTGATGTGACATGTTTTGGTAAAACAGTGAGCAGATAGAGGCAGGTTAGGCAGTAAGGGAGGGGACCGTGGGAAGGGAAAGCAGAGATGGGAGGTTTGCGAGGACTTGGAGCTTAGCACGAAGGCAGAACCCAGTGCACGTAGATCTGGAGGTTTATTCCGACCCTACATGTCTCAAAATAAAACTAAAATCAACATGGAAATTGTGCTTCCAAGGCCAGAAACTCCCAGACCCCATTAACACTCCTGACTTATAGAAATGAAAAACTTATCTTGATTGCTAATTAGAAGCTTTTAGAAGGAGAACAGGTCAATTACATAACAAACCCCCCCCCCCAGAAAGGCTTGTTTCAGGCAAGAAGGGAACAGTGATTGTATAGTTCCTTTTCCTGGGACCCTGATGGGTTTGCAAATGACTTTTATTTACTGTTAAAGAATATAGTGCTGGTGAGCCTGATCTATTCCAATGAATATATCTACTGGTTTCCGGCAGCAAGCAACAGGATTGCTGTATGAGTTCTGCTGTGAAACTAGAGTGTGTTTCTATTGCAGAAAACCAGGTTGCCTTTAAACGGATTATAGGAAACCAAAATTGAGTTTAGAAAAGAAACCAAAAGCTGCTCAAAGGGCATTTCCTCTCTTCCTCACTAATAGTCAGGGAGAAGTTGAAATTATCATAAAAAGAGAAGCTACCAAGGCCCTTATAGATACCTCAGGCTACTTTATTTGTTCTTAACCACACCCAGCTAAGTTGTCTCTTTCCTGGGAGTAAAGCTTCTGTACAAATGTCAGGGATACGTAATCAGTGTCTGTTTTTAAATCAAAACCTGTCCACTTCCACCTAGAGAGTGTTGTGTGACAATATATCTTTGCTAATCAAATATACCCCAATTGACCTGACAGGGCAAGCCTTTTTAAATCACTGATGCCGACTTATGCGTTTAGAACTAGATGACTTAGGGCTAAACCCACTTAGGTGGGAAACACAAGATTTAAAATGTACAGCTGTTGCTAAGGCAGAATTATTTGAAAGGACCAATCACAAGCTAGCAAGGCATATATCATTTGTCCTTTTGTCTGTGAACTCATTCTTTGATTTTGCAAGACAACAAACCCAGATCTGATCACCAGCGCTTGGTTTTAACAGGAGAACTGAGATGATATGAAGAAATTCTTAACACAGTAAAATAAACTTTTGTAGTATTAGACGTGGATGGACCTTAACAGTTTATCTATGGTAAACCATTAATAAACATGTATTAAGGGCCAGCTGTAATAGGGAGGCTACAAAAATAAATAAGTCTAGCTATCTTTTATTAAAATACTTTATTTTAAATTTGTTGAATATTGATAGAGTCTAGGATACTTTGCTTCCAAATTTCTTCACTCCAAAACTGGAAAATGAATCTATGGCTATTTTTTCTTTTTCCTGTCTGCAGCAATATCTCAGCAGAGTCAGAAGCCTGTGTTAAGGTTAGTAGAGAAATTGTTTTCATTTCCATCCTTATTTTCTCCAGTTTCTTCCTCTTCCCTCTTCTCAATATTAATTCATTGCACTGATAGTAGTGTTAAGTTAAGCAAAGGACAGACTTTGAGTATTGCTTTTCAGTAATAAGTGATAAGCTCAGAAAAATAAAATAATTTTAAAATGATAAAATGCCCTTGGATTACCTTCTCAATCACGAACATAAGTTCAATAAATCCATCAGTTAATATGTTTTTCTAAGCAATCTCCATCATTCTTTGATGATCTTTTACTGAAAAGACTCTGTGTGTTTTTGGTTTTTATTGTCTTGAACTCACTTGAAGTTCTTTCCAACGGAGTCTCTTTCTCTACTCCTCATCAACCCCAACTTTCTTCTCTCTTTCTCTGGATGTTGGGAGATTCCATATTTTCCACAAGCCATAACGTCTAAAACCTTGAATTCAGAATTGACAACAATAAAGCAAATTGTTTGCTATCAAATGAAGTCTTGTGTTTTCTAGGATGAAAATTATGAATCAAGTACTGGACAAAATGAAAGTCATAGACTCAAAAGTGAAATCACAACATTTATTGGATAATAAGGAAATAAAATATGAGAAGTCACAGCAGTTTTCAGACTATGCATGGTTTTCTTTCAGGTATGATTCAGACGAATAAGTTTGTTCAAAGCAAATAGCTTTCCACCTGGGATTTAAAAACATGTGAGTGTGTGTGTATATGTACAAATATACTTATATACACACAGAGATACACCCACATATACATTTAACATATACATGAATATGTATAAATATATGTACATACTTATATGACCTATCTATCAACTTATGAAACAAAAATGATATCTTTTTTAATGAAAGATTTCTAAAAGGTACATAAGTAGTTGCACAGTCTTTCAAACTATTTTAAAGAAATTAATAAAATCTTAATGACTACCAGAATACTCATCTACTGCACAGAGCTATACAAACCTCATTTATTGTATTATCTTTAGGTTTTAACTTTCTTACCAGATCATGTTTTCAATGGTCTGTGATGATACAATGTCCTTACCTTTTCCTATGATATGTTTTGTCTCACAGAGAAGTCTGAACCACTGTTGACATTGTAAGAAACAATGGCATACTCATCTGGAAAATACAGAGAAAATTCATTCTTATTAGATCTCCAACTTTTCAGATATGCCAGATAACTGTAGTCACATTAGGTCTAATCTTTTAAGCAGTTTTGCAAGATAGTCAATCATGTCTCTGTTTTTAAATACAAAAAAATATCTTATTAAATTTTAAGGCACTTATCCTAGCCAGATGGCTCAGTTGGTTGGAGTGTCATCCCATACACCAAAAGGTTGAAGGTTTGATCCCTGGTTGGGGCATGTATGGGAGGTAACCAATCAATGTTTTTCTCTCACATCATTGTTTCTCTCTCTCAAAATCAATAAAAACATATCCTATGAAGATTAAAAAAATGTTTAAAGCACTTGGTGATGTATATTCTATTAGTAATTGATAGAACTAGAATTCAAATACATCTTGATAAACTTTACATACCATTCAACAAGGAAGTAATAGCACTAACAATCCAGGGAAATTTTTTATGGTCTCTACAATAGCTTAGTAATTGGGTTGGAACCTAATCTATCAAAATTTTCCTATAACATTTCAGAATATTGCCCATTCCCCTTCTCAAATTGAAGTTCACAGAAGTATCATGAAGTGGTAAGTCTTTCCATTAACAACAACAACAATAACAAAGACCTGGCACTTAGTATAGTTTGTATTTCAAGTTAAAGGGATGTTCTTTCATATTATATCAAAAGGATTCTAGGTTGTTGCAAAACTCTGGTAACTGGAAACTGGCCCAGTCAGAAGATATATCACGAAGTAAAAAAAATTCAGTATATGAAGTAAAACCATGTATTGTATAGTCTCTATAGACTAAAGGTGATTTTGGAAAATCTGGTAGCTCAGGGAATCTTAGATATAGATTTCATGTTCAATGACTTTAGGGTGTAGTTGTTGCTTTCCTACCTTTTTCATAACTGTAGACCATAACTGGGGCTGACTGAATGTTGGACACAAGGTTGCTTTGCTCAACAGAGAAAGTGAAACTATATGCTGTATGAGAAATCTATAAAGACACAAATTACAAATAACATCAGAGCAGATCTGGAAAAGAAATCACTGAGAAAATTATCTCCAGAAGTTCATAATCTACTCAATTAAATAGATCCAAGTTATCAATATCTTACATAATTTTACATAATGACTTAATTTTAGTAAGTTAGGTAACATCAACTTGTATAATATTTTAGTTTCATTGCTTATATTGAGGTGTAAGAAATTTAGTTGAAAGCAGTAATGTAGGCATTTATGTGAATGGTAATAAAGTTTACATAGAAAAAAATGACTCTAAAACTCATGTTACCTTAGTTGAAGTTGAAGTCAAACTATAAAAGAATTATACAGACTAATGTTAGATGCCATGAAAAACAGGGAAATTATGTTTCTAAACTTGAGAATTATCTCGTCAGGTAGTCATGTAATACCTGATATAACATTAGAGTTAACAGGGAGAAGATAGTGACTGGGATAGTAGACCAGTGATAATCTTTAATGTCCCAAATTTTTGAGAAACCCTGTCATGTACATTTATGAGAAGTAGTCATCCAATTACCCTCAAAAGAAAATAAAGAAAACCATAGAAGGAAAAAAAAAAAATGGGAGAAAAAAATTATTGCTCAACTTACACTTTTCAAGTAGAAAAGAACGTGGTCATTCTTGACCTCAGTATTCATCACTTGGCCATTATTTTCAAGCTTTGAAGAAATTGGCAGGGAAGGATGAGGAATAAATATTAAAGAGTATTGCTCCAGTATTGAATACTACATAGTTTTTATTTAACCCATTGTTGGGAATCTATCTTATGGAATGTCCCCTTGTGCCATGACGTTTTCATAAGCACAAGTAGAAACTAAATTAAGAAATAGACTATACTCTTCCTTGAATCTTCTTTCATTCCTCATTGCTGTCTACTCTTAACAATTGTTTTGACTTTTAGAGGCCGATATCTGTGAGTTCCCATGTTTCCTTTTATCTCCAAATACACAGGGACTGTATTTATTTTTTACACCCTAAATGGCTAGCACAGGCCTGGCACAGAAACATATTTAGTGTTTGTTCCACTGGATTTAAAATGTTCTTATTTTTTATGTTGATTCTATGAAATTAGGGAAAGATAAGGGGGCAGGGATCACAATGTAGGGGTTTAAAATTAAGCTAAATATTTTCTTCTGATAGTTGCTGAAAAAAAAAGTTCTCTGGTATTCAAAATCTGCCCACAGAAGACTTGGGAATGGAGAAATGTCTAAACAAAAAGATTCATTTAGCTCTGATAATTAACAACATAAAAGATAGAACATGAATAAGCTGGCTTTGTTTGTAAATAACCTTTATGGTCCAAATAATTTCTGTGACAGAGACTTCCTTACTTAATATTGCAGCATCTCTCAAATATAAACAAGAAAAACAAATTAAAAAATTAGACTATAAACTATGAAAAATGTCTGCCAATTGCTATAAGTTAAGAATACCATCCCTCCACTGTTACAGCAAAAATGAAAATGTGACTTCTTGAATAAGTTTGTTTAAATGAAGAATTCCAAAGCTTGGCTTTGCTAACCAGTTATTTAATCTATACACTATTGCTGTGATAAAAGACTGGGCTTCCATCATTTACCTTCTCAGTGGATGACATGATTGGAGTAAATCCTGATAGCATTTTTACATCAACAAGGACCATATTGGCGGTATTGTGCACTCCAATGTACCTGAAATTTAAAAACAAAACACTAGTTTATACATCAGTTTTGAAAAGTGACGTATTTTATGGCAAGAGTTGTGAGTACATACATGCTTATTAGCCATAAATCTGGAGAAAAGGCACCGCTGAAGAGAAAACCCCTGAAGAAAGTTATTCTCAAATACTTTAAATAGACACAACTAGAATGATAATGGGTGAGATGATACCAAGCAACATAAGTTGGAGTAAATAGTGAATTATCGGAACCTAGAATCTCCCAAACCCTGCTTTTAAGATTACCTGGAGTCTTAGAGTCAGAACTTATATACAAAGCTTGTAAATTGATATTACATATACCTATGGTAGCCTTAGATTTGCACAAAACTTAAAGAAAATCTTTGTTTGAAAAGTGGGATGTTGGTAGAATCATAGAGTAGACATATCCCTAAGAGATCTTCTAGGATGTGTTCCTCACACTGAATAGGATCGTTGAGGCATGAAGTTGAGTTCTACAATATATTTAATTCTTATTTTAGCTCTTGTGTTTATGATATTATCATTTGGAAATCTTAAGAAAATCCTCTAAACTAATTTTTCTCAGTGTTTCTTTGCATATTAACTAAGGTTAAAACTCAATGACATCTATATTTTATATTTTAATTTAAGATAATTATTTTGCTTTTCTAGTCTGAAAAATAAAAATCTAAAATTTTACTCTATATAGTTATAAAATAAGCATTTGTAGGTTTTCTTCTCTGGACCCATCTGTGCTTGTTTTTAAGTGAAAAAATAGTATCTCTATTGTCCCAAACTGACAGTACTTCTATACTATAAAGAAAGAAACAAAAAACAAAGAGCAGAAGCATTGCTGCAGTATCAGTGTGGCAGAACAGAAGCTTGCAAGTTATAATTGCATAATTCTAGCTCTGATTTACAGAATTAAGATGTACTCAATTTACAGAAAGCTGTAAAGGGACTATGCTATACATATTACACACCAAAAAGTAAACTTATCATGGTTACCATTACTCTTATTTTGTTGTTTTGCTACTGTTTAAAATAATTTTTTTTTTTTTTTTGGCATATTATCCTCTCTCTAACTGAGAGTTGATATTAAAATGGGATACTTACTTGATGGTTATTGTCAGGTCAAAATTAGTTTGAATTTTATCTGAAGAGTTTTTCTTTACCATTTTCACAGAAAGGGAAAATCCAGATTCCTTCTTAGGTAGTAACACATTATACCTAAGGGTAACCTAGAAAATATAGCAAATCATTAAAAAAATCCATTCATTTATTCTGCATTAAACACTGAAGGACTTATTGTTTCTCTTATTTTCATTATTAATGCACTTTTTTTTTTTCCTATCTCTACTCAACATGTAATTGTTTAGTTTTCAGAATATACAAGTATCTTTTTTTTTAATTTTCACCGAAGATATTTTTGCATTTATCTTCTGATAGAGTGGGGGGGGGGGGAAGAGAGAGAAACATCGATGTGAGAGAGACACATCAACTGGTTGCCACCCACACGACCCCAACTGGGGCAGGGACAAACTGCAACGGAGGTATGTGCCCTTAGTGGGAACTGAACCGGGGACTCTCTGGATCACAGGCTGACTCTCTAACCACTGAGAAAAACTGGCCAGGGCTATACAAAAATCTTTAACAACATAATTTAATAAAAATACCAGAATACTTTCTAACAGTGACATTCCTCAAGAAACTTCTCACTTATCCAGTTATCCTTAAGAATAAATTCCTCTTCATAAAATAACCTGCATTTTCAGCTACTAAGTGGAACATACCAACAAGAGAAAGTGTAGAAATAATCGCGGATTAAGCAAAATGGTAATATAATATTTCATATGTAACTAATGAACATTCATCTCCCTCTTAGGTAGATTTCTGTTACCTGAATAAATGCAGAACCTTGTCCTTTCACATCTAGGGTGTATTGTCCATATGCTTTTGTTAGTTCTGAACGTTGGACCAGTAAGCGGTTGCAATTGTTAACCTGGAAAGTCTCATTGTAGTCTTTACTGCTAAAGGTGACAGTGTTTTGACCATTAAAGAATGATAACTTCATGTAATAGGTTATAGCATGAAGACAGACGGCAGTGTTCTGCAAAGAAGAGTACAAGCAACAATGCAAGCTCTGTTATACTGCAATATTAGTCATCATTTGACTGTAGTTTAAGTCAGTCCATAGAAATGATCCTAAAACAGGTAAATAGAACACCAAGAAGCAATACTATTTAAAAAAATTTTTTTTTCTTTATTGATTTTAGAGAGAGAGGAAGGGAGAGGGAGAGAGAGATAGAAACATGATGAGAGAGAACATTGATTGGCTGCCTCCTGCATGCCACCCACTGGGGATTGGGCCCACAACCTGGGCATGTGCCCTGACCCGGATTCAAACCAGTGACCTCTTGGTGCAAGGGTTGACACTCATCCACTGAGCCACACCAGCCGGGCAAGAAGCAATATCTTAAAGAATAAGGAAATGTATTTCTTTGTACTAGTTGTTTCCATTGAAATTGATTTTCTTCTACAAACCTTAATCAGATTTTTATTGTCTAAAGGATTATATAAAGTATAATTTCTGTGTTGAAAGTAGTGCCAGATCTTTTCTGGAAAATTAAGATGTTATTAATTAAGCTGCCACAGACAATGCTCATACCTAACTATCTTCAAACACGGGAATTTAGAATCTGGAAAGGCTGTTGGGAGATTCATTAACATGATTTTACCTAGAAGCTAAGACTGGAAAAAAAAAAAAAAGAGAAAGAGGGAAGTGAAGATTTTCCTTGTGGGAATAAAACTAATTTTTTTTCCTGTTAAGGAAAAACATAGATCATTGTTTTTCATACATATTTCTTCTGCTATTCATTCATTTCTTCTGCTTTTCTCAATGTGTAGACCACAGAAATAAAAAAATATATATTTCTTCTTGGTTGATAAGTATTTTGACCATAATGTCATCAGATATCTACTTATCAAGACTCTGGTATTTATGACAAGAATCTCTTCTAGACTTACATTATGTTTTTACTGTGTAAATGGAGATATAAATCAGGCATACATTCCTTGAAAAGGGGCCTCATTTTATTCACCTGTACATTGAGATTTCTTAGTAGATCCCTGATACAAAAGAAGTGACCAATAAATAATTGTTACCTCAGATAATAGAATTTATAATAGCAAATATCCTTCATATCAGCAGGTATTTTCTATGATTATTTTTGCTGTCTAGATTATTGTAGTCTGACTTTTGCATCAAACATACTGCTATTAATATTAGACCCACACCAATCACCTGGATGGAAGAGAAGCCTCCATAGGAATTCATTTGTTGGGCAAGCCACTGCACAATCTTACTAGCATAGGTGAGGTCAGGAGATTTTTGGGAAACGATGGCCAACAACACATAGCAAGTCTTCTCAGTCTCAGCAGAAGGTGCCCAAGGAATAAAGGATGGGGATGCTCTTGTATTGGGTTTCTTAGCTCTCTCCCAATATATAACATTATCTGAGAAAAAGAAAGAATTTTCACTCAGTTCCTACAAAGAGAACTAATCACACATAGGAATGATGCAAATTCAATTCTTGGCCTCTCAAATGAATTGAATTGTATCCCTCAAAATTCACATGTTTCAAGTCCTACTCTCCAGAACCTTAGAATGTGACTGTATTTGGAGTCAGGGCCTTCAAAGAGGTGATTAAGTTAAAATGAGGCCATTAGGGTGTGCCCTAATCCAATATGATTAGTGTACTTATCAGAAGAGGAAATTTGGACACATGAAAGGGATACCAGGGATGCATGCACACAGAAAAAAAACAACAAAAAAAACACAATGTGAACATGGAGAGAAGAGATGGCCATCTACAAACCAAGAAAAAGGCTTCAGAAGAAATCAGACCTGCTGACACCTAGATCTTGGAACTCTGTCCTCTAGAACTAGGATAATAAATATAAATATAAATTTCTGTTGTTTAAGCTACCTAGTCTGTGGTATTTTGCATGGCAGCCTTAAGAAATGAATACAGCTTTAAATAACAACTTCATAAGGTCAAAAGTGGCATTTGATTAAGTTTTACAAGCAATTTTCATTATCATTGGTATGTTCACTATGCTTGATGTGTTTATTTCACTCATTTAAGAAGAAGCTAGAAGAAAAGAGAAAATATATAAATTATTTAACAATAAAGTGCCATTCAGAGATTACATAAGAGAAATAGAAATACACTAGTGAAGAGTGTTCCTATACGATTGTTAAATAGGTTTTATCATTTTATTCTCAAGGTCATCTCTAATAGCAAAAGTAAATAATAATAATGATTACTTATTTTTGTAGCAGATCGATCCAGGATCTGTAGTAAGGATTTCACTTGCTTCTCTTTTCCAGCTAATGCAAAAGCATATGCTAGCATTGCATGATTATAGTCATTGGTGACACCATTCTCCAATGCCTCCTCTAGGCAAAGGAACCCAAGTTGTAGAGCAGGGAACTAATCATGCAGAAAAACAATATATTTTAAAATAATACCTGAACACTTTATAAGGTTGTTGAATATTTAAACCAATTATTCTTTATACTGTATATTATGTATCCTTACAGTATATTTTATATACAAACCTGTTCATATGGATGCATATGTATTATAGTTCATAAATATCAATAAACTTTTAAATGGATTATTAGTACTATCTGAGAAATAAAATTTAGATAATCTGAAAATGCCAGTTTCTTCAGTCATATTTTAGTTAATGATATGAATTTCTTATGTGTGGTAAAAAATACAAATGTATTTTTAGACCTAAGATATGTTATTCTAATACTAAAATAGAAGCTTATATTTCTAAAGATGATTTTTGAGATAGACAATAACTCTGCAAGTTGCAAGTATCTTCTTTCAGGAATAGATTGTTCTTCTTTCAGCAATCAGATAATTTGACCTTTGGGTTGGGAGGCAGCCAAGATGAACAACATTTAGGTTGAAATGTTTACATATTGAATTAGAGAAACAGAATCTAGGTTATGATTATACTTAGAGCACAGGTTCTTAATCTGAAATGCATGGCTGAACTTCAGGAGATCTGTAAATACCTGAAACGGTATGAAAAACAGTATGTGTGCACATGTATATTCTTCCTAGGGAAAAACCCAACAGTGTTCATCAAAGTTTTCCATGAATGAAAGATGCTTGAGTAACATCAACTTAAAGAGAGGTGATGAATGAAATGTTCTTTTGATATTTCATCCAGCATAAGAATTTCTAATCACTCTTATTTCACAGTCTATTTAATATGCATTCAGTTGACTGAAACTAAGAGAAGATGAGAATTCTTACAGTAAAATTGAGCCCAGCTTCAAGGAATGCTCCAACAACATATGCTGTGAGTAAAATGCCATCTTCTTCTTCTCCCTGAACACAAAGGAACAATGAGTCATACAGGATAGCACAGTACAAAAGAAAAGCTATTCTTCTGAAGTGAAATGAGGTATAAAAGAAACATCGAAACAATTACCATTATTCATAAAAACCTGAAAATGTGTAATTTTTAAATTAAATTGTTAATAACTATCATACTGTCTGAGCAAAAATCCATCAAGATCCTGTGTAATAATGGATTAAAATTTACAATTAATCTTAAGTATACTTAATGACATATATAATTATATTTATGTGGCCTGGTGTTAAACATAAATTCCACCCAGCTGGTGTGGCTCAGTGGTTGAGTGTTGACCCATGCACCAAGAGGTCACCAGTTCAATTCCTAGTCAGGGCGCATGTCCAGGTTGTGGGCTCAATCCCCAGTGGGGGGCATGCAGTAGGCAGCCAATCAATGTTCTCTCTCAATATGTTTCTATCTCTCTCTCCCTCTCCCTTCCTCTCTCTCTAAAATCAATAAGGAAAAAACAAACAAACATGAATTCCAAGCAATTCATATGAAGAGCCATATTTTACTTAATTTAGTATTGGTTTGAAAAAGCAAATAAAGAATTTCTCATGAGATGGAACAGGAAGTTGCTGTGAAGCTTTCAGAACATCCCGGGAAAAGAATCCTAGTGGATAACAATGATCAGATCTCATGGATTCTTGTGGTGAAAGATTAGAAAAACATCGGTAAGTTCTGTGGTTTGCAAACTGTGCATAAAAATACCTTGGGGAACTAAAATAAACTATTATCCATAGAAGAGATTCTGATTCAGAAAGTCAGGAATAAGGTTTAGGGAAATGAATTTTAATGAGTACTTTAGTGATACTGAAGCAAATAACATTCAGATGGCATTTGGGATCCACGGATCTAACAGAAACTTCTTGTTTTATTTATTTAAGCAGAAGATCTAAATAACTGTAGATGTCGGTTATAAATAAGAAGTAGGGACCTAAAGCATACACTTAAATTATAGCAAGCTGTATCACCATTCCTCTGCAGTGCAAGATTTTATTTTTTCCTCACGTGTACACACACACATGTGCATGCGCGCGTGCACACACACACACACACACACACAATTATGGAAAGAGGATTGGGTGAGATCAGACAAACTGAAATAATGACCAGTAATGAATCCAATAAGAAGAGATGTGGAGATTTTTCAGAAGAGAACATGAAAAATGCTAATTTTCTACATAGGAACAAATGTTATTTTCCATCAGGGGCCTCCTGTTGGGAGAAATAGGCTTAAAATAATTTAAAGACTATTTATTCTATATTACATAATAGTAAAGCAATGTGAAAACAATTCACATTAAAATTACATACATACAGAACTGCCATTCACCCATATTTTGAAGTGGATTAGCTTTACATTCCCCAAATCCCAAAATAGAAGTGGTGCTTATGGAGGACACAAAGAAAAAGCACAGGATATTTCAGAGGCTCTCGGGGCATGATAAAATAGCATGATTAGAGATTTACATAGGGAAATGCAAAGGTCAGGAAATGAAGGACACACAGGATGGGATGGAGGTGGGCAGCAATCTACAGAGAATGGAAAACAGCAAGGAGAATGTCCAGTGATTTACTTACATATGGACAGGAAAAGGGAAGGCGTGATTGCTGCCCAAGACGTACTTCATCTCATTTGCATTTTGACCCAGGGCAAGCTAGGCCTTCCTGCTTTGACTTGAGAAGGTATTGGAAGAGTGCTTCATTGAAACAATGTAAATTACAAAATACTCTCCCATGAATAGGAATGAATTACCTACTCAAGGCCCCTTCCTTGACATATCTTTTGGCTCCAAACTTATGAATGTTTCCTTTCTAAGTTCCTTTTCTCTCCCCACTCTCTTATTTCTAGTTTATATCCTGACACAAATAATACATTCATGAGGAGTTATATTTAGCAGTGATGCATTGACAAATATACCATAGGCCTATGATTGCAGCAGACTCAGAAAAGGTAATCTTCACAAGAAAAAATATTTATGTTCCAGATAGGCCAGAGGAAGGGAAGGTAGGCAGTACAAAGGAGCAAGGAATGTCTACTTCCTTTGCTGTCTCACCTCCCAAGCCTTGTTGGAAAGCTTGCCATCACCTTTAAAGCAGCCATTGCTATCTTGTTTGCTTGAAAGCCAGATCAAGGTCTGTTGTTGAACTTGTTCATCAATGAAAACATGTTTCTTCATTCCTTCTAATGTCTTAAAAGTAAGGGCACTGAGCCTGGAATGCACATCACCAGTTAGACAAAAGTTAGATAAGAAAGAAATGATAATGTCAGCTACTCAACAGATTAATCACCATTGTTCCCTTTGGGTAATAGATGCATCTAAGCTAATGTTGACTGTAATGAGTGTTGATAGTGGCTCTTTCCTTTGGGGCAATGAAGTGTTTTGAATAGCAATATGAAAATAAGAGTAGGTAATTTCCAGAGTGTTTATACACAAAGTTCTCCCTCTGTAAATTTATCAGATTATCCTTATGTGGTGAGAGAGTAGGTGTAATTAGATGCTTTGGGGACATCTAGTTTTACTTTCCTGAATCTACATGGGACTCTGAGAAATGCAGACTAAGTTGTTGCATTTTCCATGGAGTTAACAAGTTATGGAAGTAGAGGAGGTGTCAGTAAATTTGCCAAGAGATTTCAGGTATATTGCATTAGAACTGAAGTAATCAAATATTTTAGAATTATCTAATTCACCTCTGTAAACTCATTTTGAAACCCAATTTGCTTTTAAATCCCCACTGAACTCAACTCTCATTCATAAGCCTTCCTCAGATCATTTCTACATTATTTAAAATAAAATTTTTATGTCTCACCATATGCTTCCTTTCTGATTTCTCTGCCAAAACATTCTATATGAGCCATCAGAGTTTTTGAAAGACAACTGCTTTTGATAGCCTAAAATACAACATTGTAGGAAATTACTTTTTAATATAAGAAAGTTAGAAGAAAAAGAATGGTGTAGTACAAGCCCTGTGTTTTGGTGTTAGACAGTCATAAATTACTAGATGATCATTTCAATTTAATTTCTGAAACTCAGGTTCTCTATCCATACTGAGAAAAAAATAACTTCTGGCTTATAGAGTTTTAATGATGCTATGTGAAATTTATAATAAAATAATAAAATAATTAAAAAAAAGATATTACATGTGACTGAGCCTAGTTAAATAATTGACATTTATAAAATGTCATTAATGTTATTTTGTTTGTGATGTCTTTCTGCAAAAAAAAATATATATATATATATCACTAGAGTTTTTCTTAATATCACATTTTAAAAGATTTATACATCTTTTTCCTACATGCAAATCCAATCCCTTCACTGCAGTGAAACACAATTGAAAGATAAATGTAGAGTTGATAAATGAACCATTTCCGGCTACTATTAATAGCAGTAACAACAACACACAAGGTGGCTGGGAAAAATATTAGGCGCTCACAAATCTTGAAGCCATAATTTGAAATGTTACAGTTTTAAACGGTAAAACTAAATGACCACACAGGTATTAAAGTCTGAAAAAAAAAACAACAACCCCCAAACAAATAACAAAACATAGTTCAAACTCAGAGTACCTCAGTTCAGATCCATTTTCCCCTCACAGGACTACCTCATAATAACAGCTTTTTGACATCTTGGTATCAGGAACAACTGATTTCATCTCTTACGGGCAGAAATTACTTAAACCTTCTCACCATTAGATAGTAAAAAGAAAGCCTGAGATTCAACTTCCTCTGTCAGTTGTTTAGTGGATCTCAGGTAGTCAAGGACATAGGTATCGGACGCTAGCCCGGCGATATTCTGCTCTCCAAAACCATCGGGCATTTGGAGAAGGTTCTCCAGATTCTGCATCGCAAGTCCTAGAATATCCCCTGAACACAGGAAAAGCAGAAAGTTACTATTACTTAGAGTTGGCATCTGACATTAATAACTACAGATTAAAGAGGCATAGTGGAACTAGAAAATATTTAAAATTGAGTCTAAAAGGTGGAAACATGGAAAGTGTTCCTGAAGTAATTCTAAAAAGGAAGTGAAGTTAAAGAGGTTTCTGGTATGAAAACTATTTCTGAAACATCTCATTACCAGAGAAGAGAAAGTTAAGAAAGGATATTTGCTTACTTGTTTGTTTTCTGAGAAATTGGCCTTATGAACTGTAATCCATCCCTTTCCCCAAAAGTGTTCATATTAATAATAGATAAACAAGTTTGACTTGTAAAACAGATTTCTCCTATTACTGAGGAAATTTCTAGCATTTATAACATGCAAAGATTATTCTGATTCTCCAAAGGGGAATTTAATAGTTCAGAATAATATAGTAGAACTCTTTGTTTTCTAAACACCAATTATCATCCACCAGAACAAATGTTTCCTAGGGATACAGATTTAAAAATGATGCTATAATTCCTTCAGATCCTCATATGGATAGAAGATAATACTCAATAATAATTGATGGCATTAAAAAAAACAACAAAAAATCTTTCCATCCTGTTCTTTTAAGAAATTTTTAAAGACTACCTCAATCAAGATTTTTCAAATCATTGTGAAACACAAAAATTAACTAACTTACGCACAACAGTGAGAAAGGCCCTGGCTGATCCTTGTACCACGTTGTTTGGCAAATCCAAAACTACCGGCATGGAGACTTTGGTGCCTGGAAAAAAAAGATACATAATGTGATGGCTTCCTTTTATAAACAATAGCAGAAGTCTTGTGGGACAAAAATATTATGAAATATATTCCAGTATTATTTTTTTAATTTTACAAGTTGCTGGTTAGGAGAGATAAATTGAGGTTTTGATCTAGTATAGAAGAAGAATACATTCAGAAAATGGTATATGCATCTGTGTGTTAGACAATGGCCCCTATACTCTAGTATTTTAGTGCCTATACTACATAAGTATAAAAATGTGTCAAAACTAATGACTGTGACATATAAAATAGCGCACACAATAGGTAAATCTTGGAGACACTTAGTAGGCATTAAAATCATCTCATTATCAACCAGATAAAACAATACTCTGATGGTCATTAAGCAAGCAACTGAGGGGCTGTGATTATTTCATCCCAAGAGTACAAAAGCAGAGGTTACATTATGTGTAATTTGGGCATACTCTTGATTTCCCACTGTCCAACAGTTTGTCACAATCATATGACAAGAGAAGCCTAAAATATACAAGACAGGAAAAATATGTTGAAACAGACCAATGAGTTGGGTAAACTACAAAAATAAAAAATAAAATCCTATAAATACTATAGTTTTTGTTTGCTAAAATTATATCGTAAAGGTAGGACATGAATTAAAATAATCCTCCATTAGGTGTTTAGAATGAAATCTCTGACGTATTCAGTATGCCAGTGTTGATAAGTTTTCTTTAACACCAAGTCGACCACCTAAAAGACCCTCTTACCTTCTGTATAGACAAGGAAACTTTGAGTCACTTCTTTTTCAATACCTTCAGGCTGGCAAAGAGTAAACAAAAACAAGCACAAAATAATGAGTCTGGATTATCTTTCCATGAAAAAAAGTTAATCAAGCATTGGCTTACATAGGTATGGCTAGATATATTTGTCCTTGGGAGAAGATCCATTCATTGTCCCCTTCTGATTATATCTGGAAGTCACTGTACATTACCAACATCCATGTTAGGCCCCGTGACTCCCATATTTTGGACAGAGATACTTTGTTGTCATTTTGGGACACTTTCAACTCCCCTAATATTGTCTAGCATCTCCAATAAACAAATTGTTTTACCCAGTAGGAACATGCCAAGAGGTTATGATGATGGAAAATACATAAGACTCTAAGACAAGTAGATTTCTCTTGGATTTGAGTCCGTTAAAAAGGGAAAGGGAAGCCCTGGCCTATACATGAAAGGTCATAGGTCCAATTCGAAGTCAGGGCACATACCTAGATTGTGGGTTTAGTCCTAAGTTGAGAGGCAACCAATCAATGCTTTTCTCTCACATTGATGTTTTTTTCCTCCCTCTCTCTCCTCTCTCTGACTTCAATAAATAAATAAATACATACATACGTACATACAAGAAGGGAAGAAGAATAAATATACAGGAAACATCACGAGTCAGGAGCAAACAAAAAACCATCAAGTCTGTTTTAAGTGATATATTTTATTTTTTAATTAGAAACCATTTTTTTCTTTATTGATTTTAGAGAGAGGAAGGGAGAGGGAGAGAGATAGAAACATCAATGAGAGAGAACATCGATTGGCCACCCCCGCATGCCCCCCACTGGGGATTTGGTTCACAACTTGGGCATGTGCCCTGACAGGGAATCAAACCAACCTCCTGGTGCATGGGTCAGTGCTGAACCACTGAGCTACACCGGCCAGGCTAAGTGATACGTTTTATTATCCTGGGTCAGGTATTTGTTAAGAAAAGGATGAATTTTATTACTGTTTGAAATCATTTAAGATGACATGTCTATGTCAAAAGTAACTATGGTCAAATAAGTCTCTTCAAAGAGAAGGTCTTCTAATATTTAACCTATTAGATACTATCTATTTCTTATCTGGAAGAGCTTGATAGCTATGCGTGTACACACCTCTACCAACAAACTCTTGACCACAGTATCTTTCCAGTTTAGTTTTTGCTGCTCAGTTGTTCCATTTGGGCAAGCATTACTTCGTTTGGACTCAGCAACTACAGTGATACTCAATTTACCTGGAAAACATTCCCAAACATAAGTTAATTGATCATTGGCCCCTTCTATGATGGAAAACGATAGACTATGAACCACATTTTGAATCGGACGAACTGAATTCTGTCATATTTATGCTTAGACCAAAATACCTTCCTCTTTTTCCTGATAGGAAATAATTTGGTATACTCTGTTTTAAAGTTCCTGATATTAAATAAGGGATTCATTTACTTAATTAAAACTTATGATATTTTTAAGAAAAAATAATAGTTCTGCAAAAGCAAGTGAGAGGATTTCTTAATATTGTTTATGTTATATATGACAATATAGGGACCTAGCATCTGATAACCAGTGCTCCTAACTTATTCCAAGATCAAATAAAAACAGGAAAATATGACATAGTGGAAAGGACACTGGATTTAAATCAATTGTTAGCAAGGAATTTTTTTGAACTCCCTGTGATATCACAGGTCACATAACTAAAACTCATCTCCAGTTTCCTTACTTGTAAAAATTAGAGGATTGAGAAACAATCACTTCACTCTTAGAGCTGTGTCTCCTACTTAATGCCATAAATCCAAGCAATTTAGTACCGCATTCTATCTCAATTGCCAGGGTAAAATTTTTGAAGACCTTGTGTAGTTAGAAAATTGAAAAACTAAAATCTAAAAGGAAAAGTAGTCTTAGGCAGATAAACATCACAGGTGAATTAAAATGATCTCATAAAAATACCCTATGTTGGTGAAGGAAGGAAATTTGACCTGGGTTTGTAAGCATGCAGTGCCGTACACAGATGATGTATTATAGACTTGTACATCTAAAACCTATATAATTGTATTAACCAATGTCACTCCAATAAATTTTAAAAACTCAAAAAATAATACAATAAATATGAAACATGAAATCAAGAAAATTCTAATGACAATTACTGAAATCAGTGGTAATGACCACCCTGCATCTACCACATGTCATTCTTGGTTTATTAGAATCCTTTTAACTTTTCCCTTCTCTTATATTTTTAAGAAGATACTTGCAAATTTATTTTTATATATTGCAGGTAATATATGCACTGAGACAATGCTTCTCACTGTTTCATCTCCATCCAAGTGCTCAGTGTTTTTGGTGTCTCATGATATTTAGTGAATTTGCAAATCCCTGGCAATCATTGTGATTGAGGAGCAATTTTTGTATAGGTGACACGGGTTCATGATGATGGGCAAAGGAACAAGTGAGAAGTAAAGGAATTGATCAGCATTAATGAAAATATGGCCTTCATTTGGGATAATATATAGAGACTTGATAGGTCATGCAAATTAGCATTTCTATTGTATTTCGATCCCATTATACAAGTGAAAAGTGATTTTGCTTTACACAAACATTAGCAACAATAAACATTAAAAATTAGATTATAAAAATAAGATTTTCAATTGAGAATTTTTAAAAAGAACAATGAAAAATGTAATGAAGAAAATTATTTGTATAGAGAATTTAAGGAAAATAAACAGAGGCAATAAAAAATGGCTGGTTTTCCATGACAGACTGGCCATAGATACATGGCTGCTTACCCAATTTCTTAGGTACAAGAGTCCAGACATATGTGTTCCTCCCACCACCTTGAATAACTTCATTGCCATTGTTTTTAGGGGTACGCCTATGTGCCTCAAAATTCTGAGATCCTTTCATTTCAACAGAAATCTAAAAAAAAAGTCATGATAATGAGGGTGGTACTCTAAATACTTGTCTGTTACTATTCTTCCTCCTATCTTAAGAAAATTCTGCTTTACCTATTTTAAGTTAGCAGAAATAAAAGATACTAAATGACTTTTCTCACACAAAGATAAATATGGTAGAACACATATCATTATGAACTGACATTCTTAAAGCAGTATTTAAGTCATTGCTGTGAATGAAAGCAACTGTTTTTGTTTGAGGAGTATGAAAACAAGCCTTATTACTTTATAGCACCATTTTGCATTCGAGAATGAAAAGAATATGGCAATATTCAAAGAAAATGTTAAGGATGTTTTTGCCCTTGTTAGATTTTTATCTCCAGAGCAAAGGGAACAACTTACCTCTACACATGTGTTCAGGTAGCTGAAGACATTGACAATCACATCAGATTGCTCATTTCGAACAACTGTAGAGGGCAACGTCATTTCAATAAAGAAAGGTTGGGAGGCTTCCAGAGCCACTGTTGACGAAATGCCAAATCCAGCATCACCGTCCACACAGAAGCCATTTGTCTCCCATCGAGTTATAGTATCAGGGATGACGAATGAAAGATTTGCTGAACCTGAGGAACTATAAGGACAGGTTATTGGTAAAAATATATATATTTTTTTGTATAAACTAGGAACCTAAATTCAGTCCAGAGCAAGCAAAGAAAGTATTAACTGAAGGTTAAAAATGACTTTTAGTGTTTAGTCATTAAATAAAAGTCATGAGAGCTGTATTCCCATGAAATTTAACATTTAAAAAAGGTTGCATTCCTTCAAACACCACATTGTTTTTAAAATTTTGAGGTATGTTACAATTATCTGCATGAAATTAATAAAAGTGAAACAATTCTGGAGAAAAAAATTAGGTAAAATATATGGTCAGCACATACAAATGAGAGGCAGTACATATTTTACAAATATGGTACTGCTCTATATACCTAGAAATAGAGTTTAATACATTACACCAAAAAGAAAATAGAAATGAAGACATGTTGGAGAGAAAACTGTTGAAAGCTCACTTGACACTGACGATGTCCCATATCCATGTCTCTGGAAAGTTTTTTCTGACTGTTTTCGTTATAGCCTGTTCTACAGAATTAAAATCCTCCTTCTTGACTTCACCAGGTAAAAGAAAAGAGAAATGCATTACTTTGGAAGAATAAAAATTTCTGTTTCAATGACACACATCTATAAGCTACATCTTTAACCATATATGCTTAGTGTGAAGCAGTATAGAATTTGTTCCTAGGGCTCATTGCCAATAAACGTATATCTCAACTTAGTTATCAGCGTCTTGACGCTCAAATCTCTCCCATCATTAACAGCAAACAGTCAGCATACATTGTTCCTCCACAGCCAGGTTTAGAAAAAATGATGTCTGTTCACTGGATGGAGTTTCTCATCTGACATCCTGGTGCCAGCCAGAAAGCAGTCCGGTGCCTGCCAATTCCACTATGTTAACATGACTTTCACTAAAACTTCTGATGACATTTATATTGCTAATTCTTGGGAACACTTTTTTACTCAATTGGCCTTTAGGTTATTTGACATTTGTAATCATTGTGTTCCTTTCAAGAGTCACGGTTGTTAACTTTCATAATACCAGCTCCTTCTAGTTGTCATCTCATCTCTTTTGCCATTCTTGTTTGAGGATGTAATCTCTTCATTGACTTGTTCCTAAGAGCTCTGTTTAGGCCCTCTTTTTCTTACTGTGCACTGTGTCCTCACTGATATTCTCACATGTGGCTTCATTACAGTATTTATGCAGAAGTATCCTAATCTGTATCTCCCACCGGGACCTCTCTTCTGAGCTCCATGTTGCACATGCAATGGCCTGTGCACATTTCTTTTTGGATGTCTCACAGGCATTTCAAATTAAACTGTTCAAAAAGTAAACTCATTATATCTTCCCCTGCTTCTCTCCAGTATTTCCCATCTCCATGACAGGTACCAAAATCTTCCCTCTTACCCAAATGGGAAATTTAAGAATTATCCTTGGCCCTTGCTCCCCATATCCTGTATTTCTTATCAGAACCAACCAAATGAAAACAGCCCTTTTATTAGTAGTTCAAGCACCACTGTCTCTCAACTCAATTACTAGCTTTCATAACATTTCATATAGTCAGTCTTAGCGCAAGTCCCAATCCAATTTTTTCCACAGAGCAGTCAGAGATATCTTTTGAAAACACATATTAGATTGTTTTATACTTATCAACAGTATTACTGAATTAGAATGAATTCCAAGTTCTCTAAATGCCCAGAACGGTCTTCATGACGTGTCTGTTTATCCCTTTTGCTTTAGCTATTTTTACTCTTGCCTTCAAACCATACCTTCTGCCGTTTTTGAAGGGTTTTTAGTTTCCTACCTTATTTTTCATAGAACTTCTCTCTGCTTGGAAAGTACTTGTAACTCTTTGTGTGGTGTAGTATCATTCACCTTTCAGGTCTTAGTATAACTGTAACTTTTTCCAGAAGGACATAATAGGCCCTTGAAAAATTTAGGTCATTACTAATTTATCTTATTTCTCTTTAATGCATACTTTCAGGGCGTTTGTAATTACCTGTTTCACTGTAAGTCTTCCCTGTTAGATTAAACATTCCAGGAAAGCAGAGATTTAAGCTATTGCTCTTACAATATGTTACTAAATTTCTGATCTCAATAAATATTCATTGAGTGACTTAATAAATGAATAACTGAAGAGTTTAAAATGAATGACTTTGGGTTTCAGTACATTTTAGTCAAAGATACTGAAAAGTTTAGACGTATCTGAGAAAGCTCAGTAAATATGGTTTAACCTAGTAGCAGAAAAGTAGACCATTTCAACCTCTTGACCAGGACTTCAAAGTGGTTTCAATTTCTGAACTTTATAGGACCCCTTGAACTCAGCGAGTCCACCCCTGCATGACGTTGTCAGGCCTTTCGTTTTTCTCAAGAGGTGTTTCTGATACCCAGCTTCTGATATCCAGGATCAGCCCCACTTAAATTCCTGGACTAATCTCAATGGTAGGCCGGAGGGATTTAAGGGATGTTTTTCAAGTGTTTTCAGATCTGGAATACAGCTTTGATATGGTTTTATTCTGATGACCTTGTTTCATTTTGCTTCCCTGATGAAATTTCTGTATTGGAAATCTATCTATTTACCTTATTCATCTAAGACTCTGACCGAGTTTTGTGTTTACAGTTCTTCCAGTAGGAAATGGACTAGTGTTTGAAAAAGATGCCAGCTGTTGGGCTATCTGGGAATCAAAATATTCCCTGCCTTAAACTGAATTATGGTCTATACATAATAAAGGCATAAGGGTCCCATAAGGACAACTTATCCTCCTGTATCACACTCACTCATAATGACTATCTTTTCATATCACCACACATTACCTACTCCTATATGCTTCTGACATTGTGTTCTACCAATAAAAATAAACTTCCTCTCATATCTGAAGCTAATTTTTTTGTTTAGCCCAAACCCTTCCCATCCTACCTTATTCTATGTTATTTTGCAGGATGTCTAGTTGTAGCCAAAAACATGGCATAATTCACATACAAAATCCCAATTTTTAATAGTTTTATTCCAATACACTTTTGGCCATCTCCCTGACACAAATTCTAGATTACTCACATGCATGTTCAGGTGGGGCACTGTACATCAGTTTATTTGTTTTCTTGGCTAAATACAATGGCTTGGAGAATGGTTTCCATTCCACTGAACATATTTCTGGTTTCCGATAATGGAGATTAGTAAAGACTTTCAGACCCATGGCCTTCAAAGAAACAAACAACGAAAGAAAAGTTGTGCATTTCTTTCATGCAAGACCTAAAGAAGGTCTATCAGTTACATTATAATGAAAAATATACATCTTTCCTCTGCTAGAAGGGACTTAGATTTTGGAAATTAAATCACTTGTGTGAAAAATATCTAATTTGGATTAAAAACAATGATCAATCTGTTCTATCTAGCACTCATTATGTGCTAGGATCTTGCTAAGTATTTCACATCATTTTCCATTTAATTCAAAGGGGAAAATACTTACAAAATAGGCACTATCATTCTCATTAACATCAAACACAGATACACACACACACACACACACACACACACACACACACACAATGTGCAGTCAGTAATTTGAAGAGCCTGTGCCTTTTTTCTTTTATGTCTGTGACATCAATTATAAAGATCCATTCACAGTGGTCTCAGCATATCTAATTGATAGCCCAGGTGTGGATGGAGTCCAGATCATATTCTAGCCTCTTGATTTGACTATTTCTGCATAATATTTATCACAATAAATTAAAGACTGTCTCATTACTTCAAACATGAAGTTTTATCATTTATTTTCAACAAAAGAATCAACAAAAATGAATATCGTCTTTTTTGTAAGACAGTTTCTGAGTGTTCTTTATACAGATTGCTGACACCTATCTCAAAGAAAGAAAACAATCTACATAAATAATAAAACATAGATATGCATTTTGAGTACTAAAATTAAATTTGAGATAAAACAAATTTAAAAATTGTAATTGCTCTCACCCTGACAATGTCATAGGTGTCTCCATCCCCACTGTTGCTTACAGGCATGTAGTATAAACCATTGTAAAACACGTTCTTCTCAGGAATGCAAGGATCTCGCTTGGCATCGTCAAGGTTGAGACCATGATAGGAGTAATCATTAAGTTCTATATTTGGAAGCAGGCTATACACCTATGAGAAAAATCACATGTTTTTTTAATGATTTTAGGCACTCCTTTTATTTTTACAAAATTGGAAAACGTGTGCCATAATAATTTATTGTTTTTTTGTTTGTTTTCTAAGTACAGCCATAATATTGAATTCAACACCTTTGAGTCAACTCAACTCATTCTTCCAGAAGAGGAAATCTTCAATTTTGTCTTAGGTGGTCAATGACATGTTTGCAAAATTGTCCAGCTTTGGTGCAGGATTAAGATATCATGTAAGAAAGAGAAGCCTGAAGACCTATGGCCTACGCCAAGGCCTAGTGTAAAGAAAATTCATTGCAATTACTAGGCCAGAACTCCCAAGTCTGGACAAAAATGGTAGCTGCCTGATTCTAAATCTTCTCACATATCATTTTAAGGAAAACATAAAATCAAAGAGAAGTAACAAAATCCACGACGTGTGTTTAACATTACGAGGATACAGATGATACCTTGACCTTCAAATTACATGTTCGTAGAGAAATAACACTAAATTTCAACAGAGCTTCTACTACTGCTAAAAATGTAAGGGTAGGGAAAGCTGGAGAGGAAGGCTTAAGAGACTACATGAAGAAAGAAGAATAGCCTGGGGAGAGTAGAGATAATATACACCAAATCAACTTCAGATAAAAGAAAGTACACCATCAACTGTCACAAACTGAATCATAATTCTCAAACTGGATAGAAAAGGGAATGGGGTTGAAATGAATGGGCCAGAAAGTGGCAGCTTTCAGAAAGCATGGCTGATGGGGAATCACCAGATCATTCAAAGAGGTGTGGGGATTCTTGAAAATGGGAAGGATGTCGGAGGGTAAAATTTAGGACACTGTAGAAATGAGGGAATGAAATATGCCAATCTCTCCACTGCTATTTCTACCACCAACATTTTAAAAATATATTTTTTTTCTTTACTGATTTTAGACAGAGAGGAAGGGAGGGGAAGAGAGAGATATAAACATCAACGAGAGAGAACATCGATTGGCCGCCTCCTGCATGCCCCCCACTGCAGATCAGGCCCACAACCGGGGCATGTGCCCTGACCGGGAATTGAACCAGCGACCTCTTGGTGCATGGGTTGATGCTCAACCACTGAGCCACACCGGCCGGGCCCAACATTTTTATTAAAGAAATTCCATTTCCCTGAAATAACTGGAAAGGGTACTCTTTACCTATGAACACTGTCCACAAATTACCAAGAATTGGAAAAAAATAATTCCAACAAAATGACTGTAAGATAAAAGAGAAATAAACCCTAAATTATTAGGAGCTCAAGAAAAAAACTAGATTGAAAGAAAACATTAAAAAGTAGCATAGGGAAAAAAAAGAATAAAAATGAGAGTAAGAATAAATGAAAATAGGTCATGTACAAAGTGGTTGAATTGGAAAGCAGGCAGAGATAAAGCATATTTATAAAGTTTTACTAGAAAAGGGGAAAAGAAACAACAGAAAAACCAAAATTTAAAATTGTAATCATAGACAAATTCTGGAAATAAACTATCTGTATTTACACATTGTTATGGGTCCACTGTCTACTTAGTAAAACTTCCTCCAAACAATAAATTCTGACAGATATTTTACTAAAACTATTAAATTCAAAATATAAAGGGAAAAAGCCCTCAAGGCCTTCAGGCAAAAAGATTAAATAACTTATAAGAGCAAATGATTTAGACATGTCAAAAGTCTTAAAAGCAATATTCCAAGCAAGGCAATAGTGGAGCAGCATTTTCAAGAAACTTAAAGAAAGTGGAAACCTAGAATTTAATATACAAATAACCTGCCCTTCTCATAACAAAACTTTAATAAAACATTTTACATTGAAAAAAATTTATAGTTTATGTCATGATTCATGGTTATTAGCTATTAAGTTATTAATGTTTATAGCTTTATAAAACTAGATTTACTCTAGTGTTAAAGGCAAAATACAAAATTGCATTTTTCAGCGAGATCTTATTTGTGAAATATATATGCCTCCTTCTCTGGAGCACACCACATGGTTCCCTTCCCCCTCTTCTCCCCCCACTCACCCCCCCAGGCCTGTTACCTTTGCCTCTCTCTCTCCTAAGCTCCAAGGGCGCTTCTTCTGCGTCTGTAACTTGTTTTCCAAGCCTACACAGCCCAGCTGGGTCATTTGTTCTACCTCTGTAAATGTCTAAATAAACTTTCACTTATAATTTGAAAAAATGAATAAAAATTACAACAAAAATGTACATATGTCTAAGTTTTATGATTATGAGTGATTTTAAAGATTTCCTCTTTTATCCTTTTATTTTGCACATTTTCTACAATACACAGGTGCTGTGGTCTAAACATTTGTGTCTTCTCAAAATTCTTATGTTAAAACCCTAATGCCCAATGTGATGGTATCAGGAGATGGGACTTTTAGGAGGTGATTAGGTCATGAGGGCATGAATGAGAGTAATGGCCTTACAAAAGATGCCCAAGAAATCTCCCTTGTTCCTCCCAACAGGACACAAGGAGAAGTCTGCAGCTGGGAAGAGACACTACACCTGATTGTGCTCGTATCCGGATCTCATACTTCCAGCCTCCAGAACTGGGAGGGAAAAAAACTTCCGTTGCTTATAAGCTATCCAGTCTGTGGTAGTGCAAATGTTACAGCAGCCAAAATGGATTATGACAGTAGGTATAATTTTAAGAATAAATTTTAAAAAACATTATTAGATTAGTCTTAAATATAATCAGAAATTTCCGAAAACAAACAAAATTGAAACAAACTCACAGATACAGAGAATGAAGTGATGGTTGCCAGAGGGGAGAGGGGTTGGGGGACTGGGTGAAGAAGGTGAAGGGATTAAGAAGTACGGATTAGTGGTTACAGAATAGTCCTGGGGATGTAAAGTACAGCACAGGAAATATAGTCAATAATATTGGAATAACTGTGTATGGTGCTAGGTGGGTCCTGGAAATAATGGTAGGACTACTTTTTAAAGCATACTTATCTAACCACTTTGTTGTACACCTGAAACTAAAACAAAATAATATTAAATGTACACTGTAATTAAAAAATAAAATAAAATTCCATATTTATATGTACTTGTATTAAAAATAAAGGGAAAGTATCCAACAGTTATTAACTGAAACAAAGTGGTATAAAATTCTGGGGTTGCTGGTCTGAAAATACTTATGAAAATATAAGATGAATTAATAGATAGTAACTTTAAATTGTATCCAAGCATATCTTTCAACACAGATTAATCTCTAGGTTTTCACATACATATATTTACATTCATGATTTTTTTCAAAATCACATTGTGTTATGATCCTTACCCTATTATCGTTATCTATTGAATTCTGAATTGTTACGAGTGCTGGGTCAGCCAAGAGAAATAATTAAGTATATAATCCACAAAGGAACAAAGGAAGAGAATATTAGATATTTTCAGCAGGTTCTATCTCAAAAATATCATCTGAAGGGTTAGACTTGTAAGAGTCCAGATGGAAATGAGGAAAATGAGGAAATCAGAGAGCTCACCCTCTTAGCTGACAACTCTTTTTCTGATTTCAGTAGAAGAACACTTTTATCCACAGCTTGGAGGGCACAGACGGAGTTGGGGGCGGCTTGAAGATACAGGCTAGTATTGGAGCCAGGGAGTCCCTGCTCCTTCGAGAACTTTATGCTCACCTGAAGGACAGGAAGAAAAGGAATGAGAGTCAGGCCAGTGTGGCCCAGTGGTTGAGCATTGACCCATGCACCAAGAGGTCACCGGTTTGATTCTTGGTCAGGACACATGCCCGGGATGTGGGCCAAATCCCCAGTGGGGAGCATGCGGGAGGTGGCCAATCGATGTTCTTTCTCATCGATGTTTCTATCTCTGTCTCCTTCTTACTTCCTCTCTCTCTAAAATTAATAAAAGAAAAAAAAAATCAAAAAAATAAAATCCTGCCCTGGCCAGTTTGGCTCAGCGGTTAGAGCGTCAGCCTGCGGTCCAGAGAGAACCCGGTTTGGTTCCCGCTAAGGGCTCGTACCTCGGTTGCAGTTTGTCCCCGGCCCTGGTTGATCGCATGGGTGGCAGCCACTCGATGTGTCCCTTTCACGTCGATGTTTCTCTCTCTCTTCCTCTCTCTCCCTCCCACTCTACCTAAACAAAATATGGAAAAATGTCCTCGGGTGAGGATTTAAAAAAAAAAAATCCCAAACTGTTAAAAAAAAAGAAATGAGAGTAAGAAAATTTCATATGAAAATAATTTGAATGCACTCTATCTTTTCCAAATAAATCTTTATAGATTTCTTTTTTTTTTTTATCCTCATCCGAGGACATTTTTGCATTTTTTGTTCAGACAGAGCGGGAGGGGGAGAGAGGGAGAGAGAGAGAGAGAAACATCGATGTGAAGGGACACATCGAGTGGCTGCCACCCGCACGACCAACCAGGGTCGGGGACAAACTGCAACTGAGGTACGTGCCCTTAGCGGGAACCGAACTCGGGTCTCTCTGGACCGCAGGCCGACGCTCTAACCGCTGAGCCAAACCGGCCAGGGCCTTTATAGATTTCTGTATCTGTGTTTCTCCTGCCTACCATCATCACCCTCAACTCTCCTTACAGGGACAGCCTCCCCTCATCTCAGGATTGGCATTGCTGTCAAAAGTTATTTTTCTGTTTGGTGATGCTTTCATCCCCTAAGAATTTACTTACAGTAACATTTATTGTGAGACTACCATATAAAGTTTATAGTAGTGAGATGACAGGGGGAAACTGCTCACCCCTCTCACTCAGGACCAGCAAGAAACTGAAGAAACATCACCTTGTTTTTAAAGCATTTGTCAATCTGGAATTTGACAGTGTCAGCCACAATTTCCCCACTGGGGTGAAGGGTATAGACGAGCAAGACAGTCACTGGAGCCAGATCAGCGCTGATGTTGATAGGGAATGAGAAGCTTCCATTCCAGGCTGTGTAAATAGGAGATGTCATCAACAGATGCAATGCCAAAAGTTTCCTGGCTCACTGGGTACATTTAGATAAAAGAGAATGGCTTATGGATAGAAAGAGCAAATTGAGCTTTATTTTAAAGGCAAAGGAATTAAATAATGGGAACTACATATACAAATATGAACACTGCATAATTTAGGCAACAATGATATTTGTGTTTTGGGCATCATTTTTGTATAATATACTGATAACCTGGCAATAATAAAAACAAGTTGAAATCTCCTTCATCAAACTATTTGGTAAGTTTGCCCTGGCTGGTTTGGCTCAGCGGTTGGAGTGTCGGCCCGGGGATCAGAGTCACAGGTTCAATTCCGGCCAAGGGCAAGTACCTCAGTTGGGTCATGCAGGAGACAACCAATTGATGTGTCTCTTTCACATTGCTGTTTCTCTCTCTCTCTCTCTCTCTCTCCCTCCCACTCTGTCTGAAGATAAATGAAACAATATCCTTGGGTGAGGATTAAAAAAATTTTTTTTGGTAAGTTACCTTGGGCCATGCTAATTGTTGCCCACCATTTACAAATTGTAATGTTAAGCACTCTTCTAACCTAACATTTTCACTCTACCACTATAACAGTTTCTTTAAAATAAAGAAAAATGAAGATGGAGTATGTATTAAAAAATAAATGTATACACCTTTGTTTCTGATTTCCTTTTGTCCACTGAGCAAGATAGCTCCTTTTGCCATCATCTGTAAAAAAAAAAAGCACCCCATGTGAAATCATATTATTTAATATATTATATAATTAACAATCTAGTGATCATTTTATTCAGTAAGATAGGATATTTTCCATGACCAAATATTAAATATTGACTTTTCACAACTTGGAAAAGATCAGATAAAATCACTACAATTGACTGAGAGCCTATTATGTGCTAGAAACTTGTTGAATGTATGCAGTCCCCTATGGAAGGGATGCATTAAGCTCTGAAATTGTTTAGACTGGCTGACTGTGAATAAGCCAATTCATTTCACTTCTTTGCCTGTTTTCTTATTTGTAAGAAAGGTTTATCCAGAAGGTTTAATGAATTAACGTGTGTAAAGCTCTCATAACACTGCCTGACACAGAATACTTACCCTAAGAGATGTTTTATTATTTCCAGTTACAAATATATAGTGGAGAAAGCTAAGGTTTCAAGAGTTTAAGCAATTTGTCTAATATCAACTAGCTTGCATGAAAAAAAGGAGAGGGTGGAGGATTTTAATTAGGCGTCTTATTATCCAAGTCCGTAGCTTTTCACCTTTCCATATGCCTTTTAGAGACAAAACAAATAAATATGGGGACAGAACCAAAAGGGCTAATTTCTTTTATTGTTTATCAAAATCAGCCTTCCACTTTAGTCTCCGGTATCTGCCTAATATTTTACTCTCACAGGGGACATAAATATTTACTTCATGTGAGTTATAATTAAATGCTTAAAATAATAGACTCTGAAGAGTAAGTGTTGCACCCTGAGGGAACTGAAATTGCCTTGATCTTTTATGTGTTCACTTACTGGTTTTTGTGTTTATTTTGAATGGTTCCAACAGCATTCACCAGCAAAGTGAGGCCAACTCAGGCTGGCATGCATGACTGATGTACAAGTTCTAAACTGCACTGTGCTAAGCAGATAGACAAGATCCAAGAATCCACCAGCTGAGACTTACCAAATAAAAGAAGCTTATCTTTGAATGTTCCCTATATGCTTCTCTGTTCAGGGAGTAATGCACACTGACAATCTTTTGTTGATTGCATCTAAGCTGCTTTGGTTCAGGAACAATCTTCAGGAAGCTATTGGTTCGGGAGTAAAATCGTGGGACTGAAATACGGGCATCCGAATACTCAGGTGTCAACCAGCTAGGAACTTGGCAGCTCTTTGGGTAAACATATGTGGCCTGAGAAGATAAAAGAAAGCAAAGGACCTTAGGGCTAAAAAGACCTTCCAACCACAGTAATTACTACAGAATAAAAGGCTTCTTATCCTTTCAAAGTAAGGAGAACCCTTAGCTTCTGGCTGACTTTAAACATTATGTTATTGGAAGTTAAAATAATAAAAGTACTCTCTCTTTTTGTGTACAAAACATGGCCAAAATTGTATGTCTATTTCAGTTGTTTTTTTTACTTTGTAATTGAAGTCAGAGAATAGCTGTAGGTCCTGTGTCTTTCAGCCACATTTAAACACTGATAAATTAATTGTAAAATTCTGTTTAAGAAGCAGAAAAAGAGAAATCATAGTACTAAGACTTCTAATCTATGCATACTGTAACCAATGGAAAAATGTCAAATCATTTTCATGAGCTATTTCTAGTTTCTCAGAAGCAAATAATTTGTTAGAGAATTTATAACAATAATAATAGGCCATTATTATCTCATCCTCTTGAAAAAGCATTCTCACGTATTATCTAACAAACAAGCAATTTCATAAAAGTCTCTAAATTTTAAAACTTTATTAAAATATGTTCTCAGTACAAGTGATCTTTTAAAAGATTCTTAATGTTCAAAATTCCTAAGATTTGAATCCTCTGTGGGATCTCATCTACTCTTTGATGTCTTACTTTCAGGTTGAACTCTGGATCAAATATATCTGAAGTGTCGATAGATAACTGAGCTTCACCATTTTCATCTGTGGTGTAATTTCCTATAAGTTTGCCATTGAGCTCCAACTGCAATAACTTGTTCACCATAGGGACATTATCAGGACCAGAAAATGTAAGCTGCACCAAAAAAAAAAAAAGAGAGAGAGAGAGAAGCATTAATTTAATTTTTAAAGTTCAAAATGCACATTTCTACTGAGAAGAAATTTTCTATTCATAAATGTAATCATTTCTTTGTATTTTCTTAAATTCTAACAGTCAGATGTTCTATTAAATAAATATATAATATGGAAACAGCTATAATTTTATCTACGACTTTCTTTTAGTCTAGAACTGTTTCCAGTATATCAGATGCAGTAATGCTGCAAATGTGTTATGAAAGCAGGAAAAACATGTCCAGAAAATTTGCAAGGGCAATCTATGATCCAAGAAAATAAAATGACAACATATATTTTTTAGTCAATCCTACTGTGCCAAAATAAGGAATTCCTCTTCTGTAGAAAGGGTCCATGTTCTCAAAGTTCACAGTCCCAAGAAATGAAGTGATAGAAATAGAAGCCTTTTCACTGATCTGCACACCTATAAGCAATAAAAAAAAATGTCAAGGAAGATCATTTGATCTTTATTATATGTACAATCTTATATGTTTCTCACTAACTTCTGCACTTGTAAATGTTTCCAGTTGTATTAAATCAGAGGTTGACAAACTTCTGTAAAGCTTTGGTAGTTACTGTTCTAAGCTTTTGGGCCACATGGCCTTGTGTCCCAACTACTCAACTTTGTTTTTGTAGCTCTTAAGCAAGGTAAACAAATGTGGTCCTGTTCCAAGTTGAGTGTAGCATTTACACAATAATTTTAAATATTATTAGGAAAGGCTTATTTAAAAGCAACCCTCAAGTTGATCTATTAACAAATGTACTCCACAGTACTCTACTGAACAATGATTGCTTTGTAGTTGGTGAGTATTGCTAACTCAGTAACCTTCTCCCCAGTAACCTGCATATGTCCTCAAGTTGCCCATAAAACACCACCGTTACCTGTCCCGGTTTCTGTAGCAGTTACAGTGATATGAAATAACATGAAAAATCCAGAACGGTAGAGTTGGAAGACTTTTGTATTTATAGTTTGAGAAACACAACCATTTCTCAACTGAAAAATAAAGAGAATATACAATAAAAAAGTTAGAGATTGAAAAGTTTTAAAAGAATATGGAGTTTTATTACAGATACATATTCCCCCCATCCCCTGACTCAATGGCTCCACCTCACAAAAAAACTTGTTGAAATGACTACAGACTTACAAAGATGGAGGGAGAGAGGTTGTCATCAGCAATTTAAACAAAATAAGGAGATAGTGTATATTTTACAGATTTCAGGGTTATTCTCCTGGAAATAATGTGGATGGGGAAAAGTTAAAAGATACAAATAGAATTTATATTTTAAAGATAAGAAATTAAAATCATCTGGAGAGGCACTAAGAACAGATGGAACAGAAGCACACCTCAAATGTGTAATACCAAAACACGATTTAATGTAAACTCGCCATTTAAAATAAGGAAAAATCTATGGATAAGCTTTCGTTGGTGATGTCAGTAACTAGAAAAATATAGATTTAGTTATATTTAGAATAAAGAGTATTTATTAATTCCAAATTTAAACATGTTAGAAGAATGTATCGATTCATTTGATTCTCAAAACTGCTATATGAACTAAACACGGTGATCATATTCATTATATGGATGAATAAACTGAAGCACAGGTAGATTACATAATCTGCCCAAGGTCACATAGTTAGAAGGTTTTGGAACTAACTGACCATTCCAATTTCAGAGTGTGTGCTCCTCTGAACCATCAACTATAATATTAACAATAATAAAATAGGAAATTTTACTCTGTATCTAATGATGATTATCTCCGAATACAATCAATTTAAAAAGAAATAATAAAAGTACTCAGAAGAACCTTAATTGCTTTGAAATTAAGAAAAAATATTTTCCAGTAATACTGAGTCAAAGAGAAAATGTAAGGTAAATAAATCAATATGAATCTAGATATTAGTGTCAAGGGAAAAAATGCTTTATATCAAGATAGATGTTGTTTAGCTATGGTTGAGGAAAATGTAGAACATTATGTTTTCAACAATAAGAAACAACTAATATATTTTAAAAACAACAAAATCAACTAAATTTTTATGGAAAAGAATTAATAAAAAAACAAAAATTTATTTAGGAACACAGAAGTAATATTAGAAAGAAAATTTAAAAAAAAGTCAGAGTAAGACCAATAAATTAGATGAACATTTTATAAGCATGATTGAGAATAAAAAGGGAGAGCAAAACTGTACAAGATTAGGTGCTAACACAACTGAATATCCATCTGTAAGAAAGCAAAATTTCTTATTTTAGAACATAATAAAAAAGTACTTTATATTGTTACTAAAATGTTTAAAATCTTAAGAGTGTACTTAGCTTCACATAAAGCATAGTGGCAGGAGAGATCTTTTCTAAGGCTGAGAACTCAGAAATATTTAGAACTTTGGTATTTCAAATATACCACAATTGAAGTCAATATTTAAATAATACTTGAAAAACAATATTTGCTTAGAGACCAGAGGGAAATATTTATAATAAAAGAAAGTTTCAATTTCACAGAAACAGGAAGAAAAAGAATAATTGAGTTCTCAGAAAAACAAATCCTAACTGATAGCAAAAATATGAAAATATGCTCAAACTCATTAGTAATGCATACTTAAACAAAATAAATGTGTCTATCAAAATGACAAAAATTTTAAACCTTTTATACATATATATTGCTGACAGAGGTTTGAATTCTTAAAACTTTTTTGTACAGCATGCTAATATTTTAAAATTAAAATTATATGTGATTCTACCTATCTATTTATCTATCTATCAATCATCTACTGTGACTCAGAAAACCAACTCCTAGTAATCTATTTTAAATAAATAAGACCTCTATGTATAAAGATAGTTTTAGCCGATTATTTATTGCTCTATTTTTCACACTGTGTGTGTGTGGGGGGGATAAAACATTAGCTGAATGAACACCCATCACTTGGGAAAGTCACTAAATCACATTACAACCACACCACAGAATAACATGCTGCTGGTGTGAAAAAATTCCACTCAGCCTTTCTTAGCCTGTAATTGCTATCTAAAAGATAGGTTTCTGTCCATCTTTACCAAATCTTGATTTACCTAAAGAATTTTCACCAAATTTGGTGAGTAAATTCTGCACAATCAAGCTTAAAATATAAACAGTGAAGTATATGCAAAAATACACTTTTGAAGTCCAGAAGTGATTGTCAGAGAGGTGGGCAGAGTTGTTCACCTCAGGTTAAAGTCCTCAGACCAAGAAAGCAAATGGTGGCTTCAAAAATGAACTTCAAATCTAAAGTGATAAATGTAGATATTCTGAACTGCAGATGTTTGCAAATAATCTTTTCTCGTAGGAACAATTCTAGGTTGCATTCAGAATACCAGAAGGGATTCATTTATTTAAAGGATAATTAATGATTCCCTAAAGAAAGATCAGGGAGGTCACCTAGACAGAATATAAAACAAGGAAGCCAATAAGAGCTTTTACTTCTAAAAATTTATTACTCTATAGGTGGGTAACAATATACGTAGCCTAGAGAATAAGAGACTATTGTTAAACATTGTATTTTTTTCCTCCTTTACCTTACCTAGCTGAAACTTCTATATTCACAAAATGTAAATAGTGTTACATCCCTTTTATAAATGAAATGAAAGAAAGAATAATAAAAAAATGAACGAGAACTTTTTTGAAATAAAGATCATGATGTGTACCTGTACAATAAATTGTTCACATATTTCATTGATGTATTTCTCACAATTCCTAGAGGAAAAATATTTTCTGCACACTCGAATTGTGGCTTTCCCTTGCACAGGTTGGCCAAAGGTGTACCTAGTAGGAGAAGGTGTACTGGTAATTATAGATGAAGAGAACCATGGTAACATTTTATGGTCTTTTTCAGAAATTATACATGAAATCACTAAACTATGATTACCCCAATGACCAAATTCCATTAGGAATCCTCCTCATCTATTGGTGATATCGTCCAACCAGGATTTAGATTAAATTAGGCATCTGATTGGTGAGCAGGATTCAGTTGCTTTTAAAAAAGAAATTAAAGGTAATGTATATATGACTCAAACATATCAGTGAATAGGATATTTCAATTTAAAAACTCACTAAATTGAGTTTTTAAAATTATATTTTAATCTGATAGAAATATAAAAATTGAGCCTGGCCGGTGTGGCTCAGTTGGTTGAGCGTCGACCCACGCACCAAGAGGTCACCATTTTGATTCCTGGTCAGGTTGTGGGCCAAATCCCCAGTGTGGGGTATGCAGGAGGCCGCCAATTGATGTTCTCTCTCATCAATGTTTCTATCTCTCTCTCCCTCTCCCTTCCTCTCTCTCTAAAATCAATAAAGGAAAAAAAAAAAGAAATATAAAAATTGTTTGCAGCACTTTTTTCTTTAGCAGAAAATATATGTAAACTAAATATGCTTTGACTAAAAGTACAGTGTCTTTATGGAGTGAAGTTAAATAAATATCTAATTTTTTTAAAACACACAAAAAAACCCCTAATACAAGTTTTTAAAAATTTTAATCAAAGGCAAATACAATTGATCTGAAGTTTTGTTTTTTTTTTTGTTAGTTGAGAATTTGGTCCACTAAGATTCAGAAAAACAGATAACAAATGTGAATATGAAAAAACTCAATATAATTAAATTTATCAATACTACTTTCTAATTGTTGAACACTACTATATATCCAGTGTTTACTTAGCTTATTTATTTGTCTAAGTGACCCTGAGATGTAGGTATATTATCTCATTTTATAGATTATTAAACTGAGATCAAGTAACTCACTTCTCCACATTGTAATTGTTGGAATTAAAACTCAGACTCAGATCTTCTTCACTCCTCAGTCCATGCTCCTTCCAGTGTACTAATTTATTTCTCTCTGTTTAAAAAATCTTAATATTTCTAAGATTTTGACTCAACCCAAATGATTACATCCCTTGGTCAGCTCTAAATATTAATTACATGTGAAAGAAAGGCAAGATTAAGTTATATCTGAAATATCTTACTTCTTCTTACTATCTTTTATTTATGAAATAAAGCTCTTATTGTATTATTATCTACAAGTAAATGCATGCTTGTGAAATATGCAGCTAAAATTTTCATACACTTCAAAATAATCATTATTTCTTGTTTTTAATTAAAAGCTTTTGATGGCCCAGCTGGTATAGGCTCAGTGGTTGAGTGTCGACCCATGCACCAAGAGGTCGCTGGTTCAATTCCTGGTCAGGGCACATGCCCAGGTTGTGGGCATGATTTCCAGTGGGAGGCATGCAGGAGGCGGCCAATCAATATTCTCTCTCATTGATGTCTCTATCTCTCTCCCTCTCCCTTCTTCTCTCTCTAAAATCAATAAAATAAAAATTATTTTGAAAAAGCTTTTGGTGGCTATTAATTCAGTTTGTTAATATGTCTGCCTGTCAGCAAGTTTTCTTCCTTCTTATAAGAGCAATGCATCTCTGAGGTTGTTTGCTAAAATAATCTACTTTGCTGTTGTTTTCTCTAGCTGCTCCAAGCTAAGTTCCAGGGTATTCTAATGAAACAATGCACAGACACAGTGTTATACAACTTGAGCTAGGCAACTGATTCACTGATGTTAACTTCTAGACATGCTGATTCTGCTCATCATATTTTCATAGCCTGCCCAGAACTAACCTTGTAGCAAGCATAGCTCCTGTGTCTCAATTGCCTGGTCTTGTTTAAAGATATTATTATTGCTGATACTACAGTACTATTTAATGTCAACTATAAGTAAAATATAACATTAAAGAAGTTTCAAGAAGTTCCAATTTCAAATTAGTATTTAGCTTAGCAAGTCTTTTATGAAGGTGATACTTGATAAATATTTTGGTTCTTCTGATAGGTGTTTTTAATATACCATTGGGCAAATAAATTGTAGATGTTAATCTCATTGATAGTTCTGGCTTTGTGAAGGGTTTTTAAGTGAAGTCAACTTATGTTCGTGGATTTCTTAAAGCTTATGTTGACTATCCCATTATTTTTTTTCTTTTATTTATTTATTATTAATTTATCTTTATTGTGTTTTTTTTTAACACAGATAATCTATGATCTCTTGTATATTACATTTTTGAAATTCTGGCATATATTCAGCTACTTTTCCTGAAACTAAAAAAAATGTGATTATTATTCTAGAATCTAAAGAACATTTTAAATGCTATACAAAAGCTAAAAACTTGTTTTCCCACAATTCTTTGTGGCATCCATGAGCACTACCCCTACCTGTTGATTAGACAGCCCTTTGTAGCTTTGATATACTGCTGAAAATATTCAAAGGCAAGTAATTTGTATGTCATCAATTAAATAGTGTTTAAAAACTATGGCAAATAGTAACTTATTGTTGTTGTGGTTAATCCTCATTTGAGGATATTTTTCCATTGAAAATGGAGGGGAGAGAGCGAGACAGAGAGAAAGAGAGAAACACTGATGTGGGAGAGACACATCAACTGGTTGCCTCCTGCAGGACTCTGATGGGCTAGGGATCAATTGTGCAACTCTGGTACGTGCTCTTGACCAGGAATCGAACCCACAATCCTTTGGTCCATGGGCCAATGCTCTAACCTCTGAGCCAAACCATCCAGGGCAGGTAGTAACATTTTTAATTGTCGACATGAGATACAACAGTTTTTGGTTAGGAAAAATAGCTCTGAAGTCAAGTAGCATAGGTCTAAATCCAAGTTCTGCCATCAAAAAGCTCCATTAATGCTGATAAGTTATTTCAATTTTTTGTGTATTATTATCTTTCTATATAAAATTAAAATGATAATAGCTCCTATCTCATAGCATTTTGGTGAGAATACAATGAATGCAATGCTTAGCCCAGTAACTGGTACTCAATAAATGTTAGCTATTTTAATTATTTTTTAGAAATTTGAGAAAAGGCATCACACTTTTTAAAAAGATAAATGGCATTAGAAATAATTTCCCAAAAAGAAAATAAAAATTTCTCAAATCATGTAGGTTTTTTGTTTTTATTTTTTCATTAAGAGGATTCAAATTGCCCTGGCCAGTTTGGCTCAGCAGTTGGAGCATCGGCCTGTGGACCAGAGAGTTCAGGGTTCGGTTCCCACTAGGGGCACATACCAAAAAAAAGAGGATTCAAATGAACTCAACTAAATTGATAAAATGCCTTGTTTTCACCAAAACATTTTTAAAAGTTTCCTTTCTTTTTTTTTTTTTAAATGAAAATACTCATGTTGATGAAGGTGTAATGAGGCAGGTACTTTTGTACTAGCTGTTGGAATTGTACATTGACACAACATATTTAGTGAGAAATGTGGTGATCAAAAGACTAAAAGAATGTTACACGTTTTGTTTTGGTAATTCCAATTGTAGAAATTTTTTGTAAGTACTTTTTAGTTCAAAAGCTACTTCTTATACACTTTTATACAAAGACATATACTATAACAGTATTTATTACTAGGAAACAAAATGGAACAGCCTACATGTTATATAATGAAAGAATGCCATCAAAAAGCTCCATTAATGCTGATAAGTTATTTCAACTTTTTGTGTCTTAATTTTGTAAATATTGTCACTGTGTGGTTTGTAAGTTGGTCATGCATTCCACACTGCATGCAACAGCTGCTAAGTAAATTTGGTCTAGACACCTGGAGATATTTATGCAGCAAGGAACTGGAATTCATGAAAAGATTGGCATAATGTAGGGACATGTTTTCTTGATTATAGTGGGTAGAAAAGTATATTTGCAATTGTGAAACTTCATAAAAGGTTAGAGGAGAATAAATCACAATGTTAATAGTGTCAGTAGAATTAATTATAGGCAATTTCTTATGTTCTTCTTTATATTTTTAAAATATCTTACAATGAGATTTCATTACTTATCTGATAATTTTAATATACACATATAAAGAATTAAAGTTATATGGTTAATTTAATTTCTCATTCTCTCTGAGCCTTGCATTGACCTGTGAAGTCAAATCTTTGCAAAAAAGTACTTACTTAGCACAAGCATCCACTTGGAATTCATCATCTAAAATAGTTACTGTTCGTGGTACATTGACCTTTAATTCAAATTTAGGCAACACTGGAAACAAAGAGAAATATATTTCAGCCCCCACAATCACGGGAGAACAAAACTCATTACAATTCTGTAACTAAGTGTACTCTACACAATATTTTCCTCTGTATATACCTGTATAGACCACATTTCAACTGCCCCAAATTCTGAGTGGCAACAGTGAGTGATGCTGTCTCATTAATGATTAATTATTCCTCTTTATTTTCTCCTCTCTATTCTCATAATTTCACATTTTATTTGTTGTTATCCTTCAGATCCTTGCTAGAAGATTGTGCTGATTCTACAAAATGAGATATGTCTTAGGAAGAAAAGGCAGAGGTCAGAAAAGGGTGCAGGCAAGGAATGAGGGGCAAGAAGGATAAAGCAGAACAGGCCAAGAGAGGAAGATGGCAGAAGGCCAAGTAGAGCCCTGCCTACTTTTCTTAATCTGACACAAAGGCTGCTTTGCTAAGTCCTTCGAAATCTTCGTTCTTGTAGAACAACTATAAGTAGCAGTTGGTTACCATATCTTTTAACAGTAAATTGGTGTATCAATATCTTTCCCGATGCTCTTTTCACAACAATGGAGTAATTGCCAAACATTGGTTCTGAAATCAATCTGAATGAAAGTTGGGTAATATTTTGAAAAGAAGTCACATTTTTCCATTGAGAAATCCCATTTTTTTGAGGATCCTAGGAAATAAAGAAGTTATATGAAATAAAGAGGTTATATGAAAGTATTATCTTTTCCTTCTTCATTTGGGTACTTTCTGTAGTTATGGGAAGTAAAGAACGCTCTGCTATTTGAGTAACCTAATATCTCAAATTGTAAAAACAACATAATTTCCTTAGATATTCAAATTTATTCTAATAGCATATCTCTCTTAAGCCCAAAAAGATAGGAAAAAAATAATCTATAATTAATACTTTTAATTTTGGTCTTTCTGAACCAGAGTTGCATAGTTAAAGAATTTAAAACTCAGTCTCCATGCTTCAGAGTAGTCCTCTTTCAAGTATAGTGACAAACACCAGTAGATGCACAAGGAGATACTTATCTTTCCAAATACTTGTGAATATTGTCACTGTGTGGTTTGTCAGTTGGTCATGCATTCCACACTGCATGCAACAGTTGCTAAATTCTACAAGAAAGGATTGATAATGCCACCCTTTCTCTGTCATTTGCTGTTAGCCTATTGCGGCTTATGTGAGCGTAGCTCAATACATTTACTGATATGACCCAATTGTGATCAAAGAAATCCTGATGAAAAGATTTCTACAAAGAAACAAAAACATTATTTCCTACTCACTTTTTTTCTTTCCTCTACAATAAAGTCTTGAAAGCGAAATTAATTTCTTGGACTTCCTTTCAATAAGGATTGCCCATGTGACTCAGTGCTGGAAAATTAAATGTAAGTGGCAGTCACTGGGTAAAAATTCTAAGAAATTCAGACTCAGCTGGCATTGAAAATAAAACAACACAATGAGGATGACAAAGAAGTAGAAGAAGCCTGGGTCCTGGGTAACTATGCTGTTACTGTCCTAACTCGGAAATATCTACACTCAGACATTTAAACTAATATTAGTTCTGCTTCTGTTGCTTTCAATGGAACACAATACTAGTTGGACTAGGTCATGAAGATAATAATCTTCATAGGTTATTAACCATGCAGGAAACATAAAAATGACTGACTTGACATTTACCCTACTAGAATGATGAGCTATTTTTCACTCATATAACAAAGTCAAAAACATTCAAATTATAAGGATTATTTGAAGCATGTATTTATACACATAATCATTAATAATAAACCTAGATTCTGGGTACTAGCTTTTAGAATTAGTTAATAAAAACAGTACATATGTTTTATGCAGAGATTCAAATATATATGTTGGAGTTGATTGTTATTTACTGATAGGCATAAGACTTCATATATATTTGAATGTCATACTACACACGACATTAAAGATTTGAATTAGTGGAGACTCCATTACCTATTTTTTTGAAAGCAAACATTCTATTTTATAATATTATCACCTTCTAGCTAACTTCTAAATTTGTAGGTATCTATGTTTTCTATTTTCTTAAAATAAGATATGGATAGATTAAGATTTGAGAAGGGCCAGCAGCCAAAGTAAGTAATTTTAAACTTAAACCTCCTTTACAAAGAGCCCAATCTTTTCCTTGAAAACCTAAGTTACTACATTTGCCACATAGACTATACCAAAGTGACAGCCCTCTATTTAGATCTTCATCTTACATTGTGTACATAAAGATTTCTCCTCACCTATTTCAGTTATCTTAATTTGTAACTATGCTTAATAAAAACTAGACACAAGCCACTATTTATCTGAATATTCAAAATAATGAAAATGAAAAAAACAAAAACAATCTTTTACCTGAAGTGTGATTAAAGGATACTAAAAGAGGAGAAAAAAACAAACAAAACAGGTTAATATTGTAATAGTACATTGCTTTTTGGCCACATATTGTATTTATAAAGATTATTTGATTTAATTTAAGTATTGAGACTTAGCCCTCACTTTCCCAGAGGGTCGATTCTACTGCAAAAATTTCATGCAACCCATATTATCCTCACATGATGAAAAGTCTTAAAGAAATATAAATTAACTCACAATAAAGGAAAGTTTTAGGTGTAAATTTGAGGTTTAGCAATGAAACTATACCTATATAGTTCTCTATGTTAAAATCTATTATTACACTTATGAAAAGTTTCCTAACGACACCTTATATAGCAATAGATTTGTTTAATTTGCTTATATTTTATTGTACCATTAGAAATTATTGAACTCACCAACTCCTCAACAGGTTTGAACTTGGTATTCAGTGTCACAATACGAACTTGAACTAAAAGAAAAGAGAAAGAGGGGGCAATATTTTTTTCTTGTTATTTCTCTCCCAGGTAAAATTGCTTATACATAAACAGGGAAATTAATTGCTTTGCTATCATAGAATATTTCCCTGCCTTCTCCCATAGCTCTGATTTGATCTTTTGAGATCTGAGATCCATTTGGAAAGATCTTATATTGCATATGTGTAATTCCTCTGTTGACAATGCTGGTTGTTACCAAAGCTGACACTAGCCACTGCCACCATCGGAATTGGTGGCAGAATGAGTCATAGAAGGACAAATGTGAAATACGTATCGTAGGAGTTAGACAATCTTTCTGGAAAAATATATTGATTTTAACAAACATTATAGTATGTTAATTTTAGCAGAATTCTAGAAAATCATTTTAGCTACTTTTGAACATATACCTATCCGCATGGCATTTTAATAAATCCAGAGAGAGAATATAATGCAGCAAAATAATCTCACCATATAAATTCTGTTTTAACTTTTTATTTATTTTCAATAAATCATATATATATGATATATATATTAGAACATGTATAGATGCTCTCATTTAACCCTCTATTTTATAAATGAGAAAACTAAAGCTCTCTAAGATCAGAATTTGCTTGGCAAAAGCCAATAATTTATTAACAGAGTCAAGACAAAAAATATATTCTTCTGAACCCTTGTTTGTTATTCATTCTGCTACCTTCTGATTACAATAATAAAGAAATGAGAAGATCTTTGGTTTGGTTTTCAGATTTATGGTTACTTCTACTGGTCTGAATAATAATAATAGTGATAATAAATGTCATTTATGGAATCTTTACTATATGGTAGGTACCATTTTATATTGACTATCTTATTTTATTCTCACAATATTTGTATAAGTGAGATACTTTGATTATCTTCACTCTGAAGATTTAAAAAATTGAGTCTAAATAGAGGTTTAACTACTTTACCCAACTGGTAAATTATGGAACAACTATTCAAACCGAATGATTTTGTTCCACATGCCATGTTTGGTACCACTGTGTTATGTAAGCCTGTTACTAGAATTTGTACAAAGTAAAAGTGGCATGCAAAATTTTAAGAAGCAAAGCATTCAATTATTGGAGTGGGAGGGAATTACTTTATAATTGACCTAGTCAACCAGTAAAAATTCTAGAAATTCACATTCCTATAACATTAAGAATAAATTTAAGACTAAAATCTATGTGTTTGGTTTGCTCTAAATTTGAAGAATGTGTTTGTAAGGTCAATGATACAAAGGAAACATGAATATTGACTTACCATTCTCTCCAGGTTTATAGATGGGTTTATCTGTCTGCACAAAGGTTACTGTCTCTTCTGAAGTGAGTGCTACTGACCTTCTCTCAAAGATTTTAAGAGTATGTCCCTTAGCCAACAATGTCACAAAAGCTAACTGTTCAGAGGGCTTTTGAGAGACCTGTTTATGTTAAAGAACAGAGAATGGGATGATTATTTTTAGACATTAAGAAGGAGAACAATCTCTTAATTTGGCTTCTCAATCTGAGAGAGTTTTGTAAATCCATTATTTCTTCACGAGAGACTTAGTGATTACTTGTTACAATTTCTATATTTAACATAAGAATAGTTTCTAACTAACTTCTTTTTATGTCTTCTTGTCTTTTTTGTTGTTGCCCTAAATCCCAATTCTGCTTCCCTTTACCTAGATTCTGTTTTCTCTTATTGTTAAACAGTTCTATCAAAAAATAGTAATTATGTCTTATAATCACCCCAATAATAAAAATGACAATATTTCACAAGGTTTTTTGCCTATGATAATTTTTATTTTATTTCTTGCCTCTCAGAAATTTTCTAGTTTTATCCTCTAGCTTCTATAATTCAACTGAAATCAAAACTTGTTATTCCTTTAAAACTAAATTTTAAATAATAATTTCATGTTCCCATCTAAAGTTCTGGAATGGCAAATTCAGTGCCTCACCTTGAAATCTGCACAAGCATAGAAGTTCTCCTCCTCCACAGATTGGTCAAAAATAGTGATACTGACTTCAGCATACTCTACGACAACACTCAAGGATACAGACTCATTCAGGTTTAAAAGGTGGAGACAAGCCTTTTCTGTAGAATGACTCTGAATTACAGAGGAGACCCACAGAATATATTGCCTATGCAAAGAAAGTAATGAACACTCTAAACAAGTGTAGAATAAATGCAGAACATGCATTAAAAGCAATGTTAGCTTACTGAAATAGTCTTGAAACACACACATTTTTCATTATAATAAACTTTAAGTATGAAGAGAGAGGCATCTTAAGAAAACTATGTCAATTCCCTTTATACACTTGTTAAACATTTATAAGACAAATCAGCACTGAGTCTTAGAAGTGGTAAAATATCAACTTATGTAATAAGGCCACTTTGCCAGTACTTTAATATGAATAGAGAGTATAATATTCCCTTACGGTTCTGAAGCCACAGCAACAGTAAAATGAAGCCAGAAGGTGCTCAGGAAAATGTTAGGCACCATTTTATCCCAATGCCCGAACAATAAAGACTTCAAGGTAACTACTTTCTCTGTCTCTTTGTCTTTCTTTTTCTCTTATTAGAAGTCAGCTGCCTCAACTCTCCACTGTCTTTCCTTTCCTCTGCTCTGATTTTATAGCCACACAATGAAGGATCAATTATTTTTTTGGAGCAAGTATCATGAGAACCATCAATCACACTTAGATCACCTTTCCCATTAATTCTCAGGGGCTGTTACTTAATATATGACTTCCTTCTTAAATTCACGGATGCTGCTGTTTTTGGAATTAGCAGCACAGGCTGGACAGGAAGAAAGAGAAAAAACAAAGAAAGCAGTTGTGTGACAGTTAGGAGTTCATTAGTTTAATTTACTCCCTCACTCAGAGGGCTGCCTGCAGTATCAAAAGTATTCATTTGTAGGAATTAGCACACATAAGAAAACTGCCCCTCTAAAGAACTGAAGTCATTCTAATTCCTAAAAGGTAAATTTTCCAGGCTTCTGAGAGAAATAGCATATCTAATGTTGTCAAAACCAAGATGAAAATAGATATCTCAATGCAGGCTCATTTTACAGATAATTGAAACTGTTCAGTCATTCTTTTATAATTTCATAATAAAGAATACAGCATTTAAAATGCTAATATGGCCCTGACCGGTTTGGCTCAGATGTTGGAGCATTGGCCTGTGGACCAGAAAGTCTTGGGTTTGGTTCCTGCTAGGGGCACAAACCAAAAAAAAAAAAAAAAAAGAATAAATAAATAAATAAATAAATAAATAAATAAAATGCTAATATGCATTCAGCATTTACTCAGATTTTTCTTAGTTAGGTTGTCTTTTTTTTTTTTTTTTACAATGTTCAATATCCTTTTATATAAGAAAAAAATGAGCCCGGGCTCTGTGGCTCAGTGGTTGAGCATCAATCCCATGTACCAAAAGGTTGCCAGTTTGATTTAGGACACATGCCTAGGTTGTGGGCTGATCCCCAGTGGGAAGCATACAGGAGGCAACCAGTAGATGTTCTCTCTCATTGATGTTTCTATCACTCTCTCCCTTTCCCTTCCTCTCTCTTGAAAACCAATTAAAAAAAAAAAAAAGCCTTTTTTTTTTTTTTTAAATGAAAGAAAATGTGATAAATATGTGTGAGTGCATACACACATAAAATCACTTTTGGCAAAAACGAAAAGAAAAAACGATTTCTATACTTTTGATTGCAAACCATTTCTACAAGGAAAGTGAGCCATACCAAAGAAATAGGCAATTTCCTGACAGAGTTTCCAGTTTGATAATTCTCCCTTTGCCATGTTTTCTTGAACATCCTTCCTATTTCGAACACAGTGGAGCCTCGATTCTCAAACTTAATTTGTCTGGAAGTCTGTTCCAGAAAAGATTTGTTAGAAAATTGGTTCATTTTTTTTTCCTATTAGAAATAATGTGAATTGGATTAATTTGTTTCAACACCCAAATGATTCCTTTTTAACCTTTCTATGTATAGTACGTGTCTAATGTACTATTTAATCTATAAACAAACACCTCTTTTTTTAAGATTTATGGAACCACCCCCTACTGGCCTTAAATGAATCACACTCAGCACATTCCGGGGTGTCTTTCAGGAACTCAGCATGCGGCTTCTTTGCTTTTCCACATATCATTGCCTTCAAAATGCTGTCATCAGACTAACTGCTTTCTGTTTATCCAAATCAACAATAGTTTTTCTACCTCTTCAATTGCCTTTGATCATTGTTTTTTCATACCATTAGCAACATTAGCACTCTTGATGGCCTCCTTATGTTTTAAAATTGTGCTATTCATCCATTTGCCAGCAAAAAACACACAAAAATATTCACAGCACAATTTCCTGAGATGCTAGCAGTAAACTAACTACTATTGGCACATTCTCTCTTTTCTCTGTGGCCTGAGAGATGCTTTTTGTCATGCTGATGTATAAGCACAAAAGGGTGGTCAGCTCTTGACTTCCAGTCAAGATGACCACAGGTAGATAAACTCAGTATTCGCATCCTCCCACAACCGCATCAAAATTACAACTAAACTACAGCACAACCATCATTCAGAACTGCCTGAAATCAAGCTGAATTGAAATACTACAACTACAAAATTAAAGAGGCAGCCACATCAAGACCGGTAGGAGGGGCGGAGGTACAGACGGGCTGGTCCCACACCCACGTGTGGCAAACAAAAATCAGGAAGATACCTCAGCTAGAAAGGTCCTCTGAGGAGTGAAAGGTCCCTGTCCCACACGCACCCAGCTCAGGGTTCCAGTGCCAGGAAGAGAAGTCCCCATAACTTCTGGCTGGAAAAACCAGCGGGAACTAAGGCCGAGGGACACTGAAGCTTCTGGAGCCCCAGGCAGCTCTTCTTAAAGGGCCCACGCATGGACTTACTTAGACTTGCTCCCTCTAAGTTCAGAGGGGAGGCAGCTTGAAAGCCACCAGAGACATATAGGGAAAAACTGAGCTGTTTGCCCTCTGGGTGAGGGCTGGAGAGGCAGCTTTCTCCTGGACAGATGTGCTGTCAGAGGCCTTTGTTCCTTTGGTGAGCCCTTCCCTGGGGCGGCAGACAGCCGCCATATCTGTGACTCCAACAACCGGGCTCACACTGTTTGCCCCACCCTGGTGATTCCCTGAAGCCCCGCCCCATCCAACATTCAGGCCCACCCAAGCTGTTTCCAAAGGCTTTACCACAGGATTGGCTTGTCTTGAATCCTGCTTCAGAATTTTCTAAAATCTCTCAAACAAGCAACATCTGGTCTCAGTGAACCCCATACATCTTGTTAAGTGGCCCAAGGCCTGGCCCTAGAAGCAGCCAGCCTTGGTTCATAACTTGGCTTTTTCTGGGCACCTCCAAGCCCAGCACAAGAAGCAGCCATCTGAAGATCACTTTGTAGTTTATGTCGGGTGGCCCCAAATAGATCACAGGCAGCGGCTGACTTGGCCCCAGAGCCAGCACACCCAGGGGACAGCTTCAGACCACATTGAAACACCACCACCCAACCATCTCCACAAATGATACACTCAATGAGTGCACTGAGTGGGTACCAGAGCCCTGATGAAGTAAATCTTGTTCTGTGTGGTGGACCCCTACACAACTGATACTCCAAGGTAGTCAGAGGCCAGTGGTCAGTTGGCACAGCAAGTTATTGTAGCTGATCAGCCTGAGTAAATTCCTCCCATTGTTGTGAAGACAGCAATCAAGACTAGAGTACAACTGAAGGGTGTACAGTCTACATTAGGGGTACACCTCAAAGGCCCAGCTGGAGTGATCAGAAAACTGTGCCACTGGATCCTACAGAACACCTACAACAATAGGCACACTTTGAAGCCTAGGAGACATAGCAACTCTACCTAATACATAGAAACAATCACAGCAAAGCAGCCAAAATGATGAGACAAAGAAACATGTCCCAAATGAAAGAAAAGAACAAAACTCCAGGAAAAGAACTAAACAAAATGGAGATAAGCAATCAATCGGATGCAGAGTTCAAAACACAGGTTATAAGGTTGCTAAAGTAACTTGGTGAGACATTCAAAAAAGTTAGTGAGACCTTCAAGAAACTTAAGGAGACCTCCAAGTGACTTAGTGAGAACAACGACATAAAAAAGGACTAGTCAGAAATGAAGGATGCACTAACTGAAATAAAGAATAATTTACACAGATTCAATAGTAAAGTAGGTAAAGCCAAGAAGCAAACCATTGATTTGGAAGATAAGGAAGCAAAAAACACCCAATCAGAATAGCAAAAAAGAAAAATGAATCCAAAAAAAATGAGGATAGTATAAGGAGTCTCTGGGACACCTTCAAGCATGCCAACATTCGCAGGGGTACCATAAGAAAAAGGGAGAGAACAAGAAATTGAAAACCTAGTTGAAACAATAATGACAAAAAATTTCCTTAATTTGGTGGAGGAAACATACGTACAAGTCCAGGAAGCACAAACAGTCCCAAATAAGATTAACCCAAAGAGGACCACGCCAAGACACTTCATCATCAACATGCCAAAGGTTAAAGACAAAGAGAGAAGCTTAAAAGCACCAAGAGAAAAGCAGCTCGTTACGTACAAAGGAACTCCCATAAGACTGTCAGCCAATTTCTCAAAAAAACAACAACATTGCAGTCCAGAAAGGAGTGGCAAGAGATATTCAAGGTGATGAAAGCAGTGACCTACAGTCAAGACTACTCTATCTTGCAAAGCTATCATTTGGAATCGATGGACATATCAAGACATTCCCAGACAAGAAAAAGCAAATGAGTTCATCACCACCAAACCAGTATTATATGAAATGTTGGAGGGTCTTCTTGAAGGAGAAGAAGAACAAAAATATGAACAATAAAATGGCAATTAATACGTATCTATCAACAATCGAACCTACAAACAAAATGAGCAAGCAGAACAGAAACAGACTCCTAGATAATGAGAACTTGTTGTTGCTTGCCAGATTGGCAGGGGCTGAGATGATAGGTGAAAAGGATGAAGAAATTAAGAAATACAAATTTGTTGCTAGACTGATGAACCTCAAAGGGAAGAGGGGAGGGTGGGTGGAATGAGATAAACCAAAGAACTTCTATGCATATATGCATAACCAGTGGACACCAACAATAGTGTGGGGAAGGCAGGAGGGGGGCAGGATTGGGGAGGAAGGGGTCGATGGAGAAGAAAAGGGGTAACATCTGTAATAAATTCAACAATAAAGATGAGTTTAAAAATAAACAAACAAACAAACAAAAAATGAAGCTTGTTTGACAACCAAGACATTTTTTCCATGAACAACTTGGTCAAGAACCAGATTGTTCTAGATGAGAGAAGGTTGAGAACCAAGGTTTGACTCTGTATAGATGGAATTAATGCCTCTGGCTTGAAGAATATTACATTGGGTAACAAAAGACAGGAACTGGTGTCAGTCTTTTAGAAATAGGCTTGTAACACTGCAACAACTAATACAAAGGAAAGAACATAACCAATTATAACAGATGAGAACTGTAATGGAAGGT